GGGGGGGCACGGGGAGTCGTCTTAGAGCGAGGCTGGCTGCTGGTTGGCGAGACTGGCCAATGGAAATCGGACGGCGGGACGCTACTTTTCGAGTGGTGGACCCGCCACGCCAGCCGCGACCGGTGGCAGGTCTGGGCTGGGCTGCTGGGGCTGCTGGGGTGCTGAAAGTGAAGTGAAGCGAGGCGTGAAGCTCCCATTCGGCGGCAGGGAGCTTTCTCTCATCTCGTCTTTCGTCTTGGTATTCCATTCGCCCACCCACTTTTGCACCCGGCTTCACATTTCCCATCGCGGAAACCCACCATCGACCCTCTCGCGTTGGCTTGTGGCTAGATACAAGCCACCCGTCGCCAGGTCCTCACATCCCCCAATCTTGTGATTTTTTTTTCTTCTCCTTTTGGCAGCATATTCCCCGGCGACAGCTGCCTTCCCATCGCGACATCATGGCGCACGCCGCGCCCGTTGACATCGCCAATGGCAATGGCGTCGCCCTCGGCGCCCCTTCCAACAAGAAGGTCGCCTACTTCTACGACTCCGACATTGGAAACTTTGCCTACGTCGCCGGCCACCCCATGAAGCCCCACCGCATACGACTCGCCCACAGCCTGATCATGAACTACGGCGTCTACAAGAAGATGGAGATCTACCGCGCGAAGCCCGCCACCCGCCTCGAGATGACGCAGTTTCACACCGACGAGTACATCGACTTCCTGCAGAAGGTCAGCCCCGAGAACATGGAGAGCTACCAGCGCGAGCAGACCAAGTTCAATGTCGGCGACGACTGCCCCGTCTTTGATGGCCTCTTCGAGTTTTGCGGCATCAGCGCCGGTGGCAGCATGGAGGGTGCCGCCCGTCTGAACCGCCAGAAGTGTGACATTGCCGTCAACTGGGCAGGAGGACTGCATCACGCCAAGAAGAGCGAAGCTAGCGGCTTCTGCTACGTAAATGGTGAGTAGAGACCGTCTCGGCCCAACGCGACGCCGACTTGCGTTTCCTTGACTCAAACTCCAATGACATGCCGATACTTACTGCCCTCGCCCTGAACAGATATCGTCCTCGGAATTCTCGAGCTTCTACGATTCAACAAGCGCGTGCTCTACATTGACATCGATGTCCATCACGGAGACGGCGTCGAGGAGGCTTTCTACACCACCGACCGGGTCATGACCGTGTCGTTCCACAAGTACGGCGAGTACTTCCCCGGAACTGGCGAGCTTCGCGACATCGGTATCGGCCAGGGCAAATACTACGCCGTCAACTTCCCGCTCCGCGACGGCATCGACGACTCCTCGTACAAATCCATCTTTGAGCCTGTCATCTCCAGCGTTATGGAGTTCTACCAGCCCGACGCTGTGGTGCTGCAATGTGGTGGCGACAGCTTGTCGGGCGATCGCCTGGGTTGCTTCAACCTCAGCATGGAGGGCCACGCCAACTGTGTCAAGTTTGTCAAGAGCTTCAACCTGCCGACCTTGGTACTTGGCGGTGGTGGTTACACTATGCGCAACGTCGCCCGAACGTGGGCTTTCGAGACTGGCCTGCTTGTTGACGCCAACATGGAGAAGGCTCTACCATTCAACGAATATTACGAGGTACCCCCAACCTGAACGCACCCCAGCTCTTCAGAATGCTAATTGGTTACCTGCAGTACTATGGACCCGACTACGAACTCGCCGTCCGGGCCTCCAACATGGAGAATGCCAACAGCCCCGAGTATTTGGAGAAGATCAAGAACCAGCTGATCGAAAACCTGAGGCGGACGGCACATGCCCCCTCGGTACAGATGCAAGACGTGCCGCCCGACTTCCCCCAGACCTTGACCGAGGAGGAAGAGGCGGAACTGGACGACATGGACGAGGACGAGAGCAAGGACATGCGCATGACCCAGCGGCAGTGGGAGAAGCAGCGAGAGCCTGACAATGAGTACGAGGAGAGCGACAACGAGGAGCTCGAGAGAGCGAACGGCATCCACCCCCAAAACGGCAACGCTGGACGCAAGCGTCAGTTTACCGACTACCAAAATCCCGATCTAGCAGACGACAGTGGTGCGCCTACTCCGGTCGGCGGCAACAATGCCGAGAAGGTCATTCAATCCAAGGAGGCGGACGAGGTCATGGAGGATGCACAGCCCGAAAAACCCTCGGAGCCCGAGGGTATTGCCGAGGAACAGGAGCAGCTGAAAGAGGCACAGAAGTCCACCGAGGCCGCAGCGGATGTCGACAAGGACGGCGATGTCGATATGGGCGAGACTGTTCCCGAGAAGGAGGCCCCTAATGACACGGAAGTGAAGAAGGAGGAAGCCAGCTCACCCAAGCCGGCGGCCGATAGCGCCCAAAGCCCCCCGAAGCAGGTGGCGACTGCGGTCATGATACCTGATGCCGAGCCCACGACCGAGTCGGCAACAGAAAAGGCATCCTCAGACTCTGGCGACAAACCTGCCGAAGAGCCAGCCGGGGCCGAGGCCGAGACGGTTGCCCCGACAGAGGCGAAAGAACCGGAGGCCAGCGGAGACGCCATGGATGTCGATGAACCGAAGGCAGACGAGGAGCCCAGCAAGGAGAAGGAGAAGAGCGCGGAACCAGCGCCTTCGACGGCGGACAAGCCTGAGGAGGGGAAGACTGAAGACGAGAGCGAGGCTGCATCGTGAAGCAGCCCCGACGTCTCCATGCCTTTGTAACCCTAACCCCCCCAGAGATACCCCCCTTGAGGAAAAAGAGAGACAACCTCTTTTTGAACTAGCTACGTTGGGGTTTCGGCGATGTGCGCCGTGCGTCGTCTAGCAAGCATCAGGTTGTTCCATGTATTGTAGCGCAGGAGAGGCTATAGGCTCGGCGTTCTGGATCTGGCTCATTCAGCAGCTCACGCAACGTGTATTTTTCCCGCATGATTACGAATCTTTCCCACATGAAAAAAAGCTGGTACTGGTTATTCTTTCCTGTCTGCACGAGTTGATTCTTGTGATAATTCTTGTGATATGCTGTGGTGCGGGTGATTTCTCGTTCGGTCTTTTGTTCACGTGTACATGGGTAGCAGTTGAAGGGTCTATGGGCCAGCGATGGAGCAACCAACCAGCTCCACCGTTCTTGGGTGCTCGGGCCTCTCCTCTCGGGAGGGAAGTGAGCGACCAGCAGAAGCGAGGGCTGGAGGATGGGCTCTGCAACATGCAGGTCGGCGTCCAGAAGCGAACATTGGCAATTACGGCAGTCAATCCCATAGGCTGTCTCTGTGTCTACTATGAAAATGCGATGCACCGGTAACTGCTGTGTCGTACAAAGTAAGGCAACATGTGAATTCGTTGGCCTGCTAGTACTCCGCGTGTAGGTATACTGTCTGTTCTCGAGCCCCCCATTGGTGGGTTGGTTCCAGGTTGGTGCTTACACTGGCTGCAGGGGGTCACTCACGCCAATCCAATGAGACGGGGAGGCTTTATTTGCTGTGAGATGCTGCGCTGCGCTGCAATGTAGGGCAAGAAAGAGAACAGACAAACAAGAGAGCGCACTTTCTAGATCTCAGTTGCGAAACGAATTTGCCATGTAGCAGCATCATATCTCTAAAATCACAAATGCATGTTAATCGATTTTGATAATCCAAGTATGGTACTGTCTGTCTGTCTGTCTGTATGTATATTGGCGAGTGTTGTGTTGTGGTGGAGAACCTGCCTTTGGCTTTAGTGCTGCTACTGCCAGCTGCCAGCTGGCACAAGACGTTGTTAGCCCAAGGGTGCAAATCGGTGGCAGTGGCAGCGGCAGTGACAGGTGGCAGGAGCAGTGGCAGTCGTCAATCGGGCTCCGGTTCTTATCTTATCGCACGTGCCACCACTTTTTTCGGAACGGAAAGGTCCCTAGGGTTTCCCACAAAGTTCCCAGTTGCTGCCAGCGAAATTTTGTGAACTAAGCCCGAATTCGTGACAGCATCTTGCGAACTTTCCCTCCCCCCGACCAACCCACGCTCAACCTCACGACACCACAACCCGTCACATACTAATCCCGCAGCAATGGCCAAGCTCTCGTAAGTCTCTACCGCGATTCATCTCTCCAACAAAAATTTTGCGACTGCTCTGCCCCGCCCGGGCCCGGGCCATTTTGGAGGGAAAAGGGAAGGATTTTCGGCACGACGCAACGGTGGGGTGGAATGATGGAGGACGAGCGCGCTTGCCCGGGCTCTCCAGCCGGGAGACCAAGGTCGAGGAGATCGAGCGACATTGTTGCGACCGAGAATCTGGAAACTCGTGAGCTCAGCCCACAGCGAGCTTCGTGATGACCAGTGTTCCACCCGAAAACGGCGAAGCGACACTACTGGCGATCCGTGTCCCCCCGGAACGCAGGCCGGACAGGGCAGAGCAGAGCAAAGCATTACACGACAAAAAAAACATTTATACTGCGTGAAAATCTGGAGGAAACAGTTTGCGCTGACAGGTTCCTCATAGACGTGGTGCCCCCGGTGGCAAGCTCAAGATGACCCTCGGTCTTCCCGTGTATGTCCAGAATCCCCCCCTCACTTCGTGGCCAGCAACGCGATCCGGCAGAACCCGACGCCTCGAACCCGCCCAAGTGCTAACAAGCCCCCTCCAGTGGTGCCATCATGAACTGCGCCGACAACTCCGGAGCCCGTAACCTGTACATCATCTCCGTCAAGGGTATCGGTGCCCGCCTCAACAGACTGCCCGCCGGTGGTGTCGGTGACATGGTCATGGCCACCGTCAAGAAGGGAAAGCCCGAGCTCCGCAAGAAGGTCCACCCCGCCGTCATCGTCAGACAGTCCAAGCCCTGGAAGCGTACCGACGGTGTCTTCCTGTACTTCGAGGACAACGCCGGTGTCATCGTCAACCCCAAGGGTGAGATGAAGGGCTCCGCCATCACCGGTCCCGTCGGCAAGGAGGCTGCTGAGCTGTGGCCCGTAAGTTCTCCATTCATGCACACAGCGTATCCACAACTTCGTCTCTGACTTCTTCTTCTCTGTAGCGTATTGCCAGCAACTCCGGTGTCGTCATGTAAATGGGTGGAAATAGAGCGCGGTGAGGGAGAAGAGACTGTCTTTTGCGAGCGGTGTTTGTGGAAGTCGAGGAAATGAAACGAAACCCTTTCCCGTCTTGACCATTACGAGGGACTCACGAATTGGGACATCCGATCACCCAGCCATGTTTTCTTACATCTAGGCGATACAAAATGGACAAGAAAAACTGCTGCTGGTGGTTCGATTGGCAACTGGTCACTTTGCATTTCGGCTATGGGGCGTAAAGGAGACACTACATACCATACATAGCATGCTGGACGAAATGAGAAAAGTTCAGTTCCGAACCGTTGCCTCCTGTGCTTTTTTATTGACTTGAACTTGTGTTCTTGGATTTAACGCGCCATGGGCTGGTCTGCGCTGTTGCTACCAGGTTCAAGTATGAGCTTGTCAGACGAGCAGGCTGTCTCGGCTCCAACTCTTCGGATCTTTCAAGTCCGTGTCACGACTACCTGGGCTTACTGCGCAAGCTCAGCTACATGGGCTGAGCTCGGTCGCGTGTCACCAGTGTCAAGTTGGAATCATTTCAGAGAAAAGAGCACTCGGTCTCGTTTATTACCCTATACTACGAGGCTATGCCCTCGCGGATACGTCTGTGTTCTTCTGCCCTTGGGCCATCTGCAACCAAATCACGAAAGAAATGCCCAGGAGGCCGAGGGATACATGGATGTGAAAATGGCCCCTCTCCCTCACTGGCCAACGCCGAAACGCCCTCGGCGAACTCAGGAAAGCTGCCTCCACTCTCTTGTGCACAGCTCGTATACTTGCGGAGAGAGAAGCAGTCGAAAAACATGGGTGGTGCTGTAGAGAGAGAGAAAACAAAAAGGAAATTGCTGGAAAAACAAAGGCCTGAACAGACAAACGAAGAAAACTATCCCTTTAGCTTGCGCGCCCCCCGTGTTCCCTGTGCTGGCACAAACTTCCTGAATGCAGATTCTTTTTGTTGGTACCGTGTAAATGCGATGTGGATGTGCTGAACAGAAGGGAAAGCCCGTGAATGATGGCCCCCATGGTGCCGGGAAACGAGGATGAATGCCGCCCTAACCTGCAGGAGATCGGATGGGCACGTCGATTAACGGCGAGTGCTGTGGCTATTCTCGCTGCGTGTACCATGGACGGCACCATCAGTGGAACGCCGGGACGCTCCATAGAAAAAGAGAGGAAAACAGTAAAAGCGAGGATACAAATGTGATCCGCCGTGGTTCTACGGCTTGGCTCACTAGTGGCACTGCAGATCTCAGGCTCTGATCAGAAACCCCCAGCAGCACCAATTGTCCTGATGGTTGTTCAATCTTCGGGCTCCGGAGCAAAAGCAGGACGGAGCTACTGCTGCTCAGTCCCGGTTTCCGGTGTGCCGTCGGGGACTGGCGTCTGTGCGGCTGCCTTCTTCGCGGCAAGTGTAGCTCGCCTTTTCTCGACAGCCCTAGACATGGAGCCGGAGGCCCAGCGTGCTGTGATGACATGTTAATATCGGACTGAAGCTCGACAGGGGTGGTGTGAACATACCTTTCATGGAAGCAGACATCTTCTCCGACTTGGTCATCTGACCATAATCCTTGTTTCCGTTCATCGACCCATCAAAAGAAGCGTCGGCGGCATGTCCGTTCACAGTCTGTCCAGGGGTGGAGCTGCTGCTGACGGGGAGACTTCCCGGATCACTGGTAGGGGCGGAGACGGGAGCTGATGCTGCATGAGCCTGGAAGCCCTTGATTCTTATCTTGGGGACCTTCGGACCAGCAGCGACATCTGCCTCGGGTGGGATATTGCTGGGTGTGATGTTGGCAAAATCTTGCTCCTGGACCTTCTTGGACACACGACGGATTCTCTTGGGCTTGACTGGATGATCATCTTCCTCAAAGTCCTCATCATCGTCATCGTCGTCGTCATCAAGAGAGAACTTGGTCTGTCTCTTCTCGCGAAGCCCGTAGGCAGAGGCCGAGGTTGATGCAGTAGCGGTAGACGACGAGGTAGCAGGTCGCGACTCGTCGTAATTTGCTGAAGTGGCACTATAGAAGGAGCCAGAAGGTATCTCGCCGATGCGTGAGTTTCGTCGCCTAGGGCCGAGGCCCGATGGCTGACCATTCGTACCGTTGACGACAAAGTCCTCGTCTTCGACAGCTGCCTTTCTCCTCCGCTTGCGCACATGGCCATGAGCCCCCGTGCCAGAGACAGGAGTGTTCTCGGGGATTGCTGTAGGCAAAGGGTGCTTTCTAGGCCGGCCGCCTTTGCCTTTCTTCTTGGGCGTCTCGCCCGCAGGATGCTCAGCATAGGCCGCGTGAAGGCTCTCATCCGCAGGGGGGCGACCACGACGTTTGCGAGGGAGCGTGGGCACGGGTGTCGACCCTCTGCTAGCCGTCTCGGGTTCCACAAAGCTGTTGGGCGCCTTTCGTGCTCGCTTTCCGTGGACAACAGTAGGGTCATCAGCCTCGGCGGCCTTTGCCGTCTGTTTAGGGCGGTCGCGAAGGCGTCCTTTGCCAACACCTCCTCGTTGGCCAATCGGATCTTGCTGACCGATCTTGGAGTCTCGATCATCATACTCAAAGCCGTAGGCATCGGCCATGATACGATCTTGCTGTCTGGCATGTGCAATCATTGCGTCAGGCTTTGTTGCTCTGATACCCTTTACTACAAACTCCTTTCTAAGAGGGTTGGCATCAGGGTCCTTGCTTCGGGCCATTTTGACTCGGTGCTGGAACATTCCTTCTTCCTGGTGGTACCGTGTCGCATTCTCTTCGTCGTCTATGATCTTTCGGCATTCGCGGTACTCATTTTCGTACGTAGCAACGACACCTGCGAGTAGCTCCAGGCGTTCATACAGCTCTATGTGTGACAACGTCTCATAGTCCGCAATGAAGTTGATGAACTCTTCAGCTGGCCTCAGCTTCTTGTACATGTACTGTTTCTTAGCAACAGGTGCGGGACGATCCAGAGCTGCAGGCTCAGGTGCCGGCGAGTTTGTACCCAAATCATCAATCGCACCTGGGGAGGCAGCAGGAGTGCTTTCGTCAGGAGCTTCCGTGGCATCTTCTGCTGCATCATCAGCTGCAGCTTCCTCTGCGACCGCCTCTGGTTCTGCTTCAGGCGCCGACGTTTTGGACCGACGGGTTGGGTAGCCCACGGTAGCCCCTCTGACATAAGGAGTGAGACGCAGGAAAGGATCTTTGATGTCTTCATCGACTAGAGCAGGAGCCGGAGCTGTGACAGGGGCCGAGGCCGGAGCTGGTGATGAAGCGGGAGACTTTTCCTCAGGTGCCTCTTCGATCACAGGCTGCGGTGTAACTGTAGGCTGTGGTTCCTCAACCTTAGTTTTGGTGGCCTCAACCTCAATTTTGGGAACCACGTCATCATGAACCTCATTGTCAGGAACCTCATTGTCAGGAACATCATGCTCGGGAACCTCATCCTCGGGAACCTTATCCTCGGGAACCTCATCCTCGGGGACCTCATACTCGGGAAGGTCGTGCTCTATAACCCCATTCTCTGGACCTCCAGTCTCTGACATCCCATTCTCAGGAAGCTCAATATCAGGAAGCTCATTCCCAGACACCTCAACTTCAGGAACATAAGGGTTTGGAGCTGCAATGTCAGGAACTTCTGGCTCTTTGGGAATCTCGTGTTTAATCTTGGGTTCTGGCTCCTCATCAATCTCCATCTTGTCGGAGAAAGTATCAGGTGCAGCTGGTTCGTGGCTTGTGTTATGCTGAGGTAGCTGGGTGAATAGAGCCGATTCCCTATGAGAAGAGGCGGAACTTGTGCGCCTGTGCGAAGAGTTTTCAGATGCCTGGGTAGACTGATGGCCACCGACCTCAATAGTGTCATGGACCAAGCTGTTCTCCTCCGATTGCTCTTCGATGAAAGACACGGGCTCCATGGTAGTTTTCCTACCGACAGACCGACGCGATACAGGCTTGGGCGGTTGCTCCGAATTGCGGCGCTTCACCCGGGACTCAATGTCTTGTTCGATTTCATCGTCCAGGAAGTCAAGATCAGTTCTCCGCTTCTTGATGGAGCGTACGGCTGAGGGTGTAGCTTTTGCCTCGATGCTGTTGTCCTCCTCGTCGGCCTGGTCAAACGAGTAGTCAACCCGAGTACGCTTCCTCAGCGAGCGGCCGCCTTTACTACCCGCTTCATCGGGAGATAAGTTGAGGCCATCGACATGACGGGTTCTCGTCCTTGTGCCTCTGGCACTGGAGGGACTCGGTGTCTCAAAGCTGAAGGAAGATGAGGCAGGAGCCATTGTGGCAGCTGGGGTAGTCGACGCAGGCGTGTCAGAAGGTTCTGAACGCCGCTGCGACGATGAGCGAGCTGGAAAAGTATGGCGCTTGCGAGAGGAGAAGCGCCCTCTTCCGCGCGCGCTGTTGGGCGACTCCATTGCGTCGCTGTGGTTGTGTGCTTATATAGCTGGTATTAAGCACAGGTGCAGAGAATCTAGGTTCGGAGATTAGTTGGCGTTGTAAGTGGGGGAGCGAAAATGCCTACCTCTCAATTCAAGTGGCCGCGAGACGACGGCAACCAGCGGGCTGGCCTGCGATGTCGTATCAAGCGACAGGTGTTGCGTGAGTGCACGGAATGCGGATGGATTACTTGTCAAAATATCTGCCTCAGCCGGGACCGAATTGAGTAGCAGTCTGACAAGCGTGAAATAGCCAGTGTGGCAGATGAATAAGCTAGTCGCGACCCAGTGCCCACGACGGGGGCGCGGATGAACGAAGACAAGCCAAGTGACCTCGGGCAGAAGCCCAAGACTTATGAATCTTTCCAAAGTATTCTGTTTAGAGCTGTCAGAGTTCCGTGATGTGTTTGGGGTTCTGTATCCCATGCGGACGATCGCGGGTTTTGATGAAAAAAATGGATCCGGTGTAAGGTGGCGGACGCATCGGTTGCCACGAGAGCACCCAGCAGTGAGAGAGTGACAGATAAAATTAGGAGGACTTACCTATCAACAGATCTTGAGTCTTTGGGGGATTAAATAGTGATCACACGTCGACGTGAGGTGAATGTGGCCGAAGACAGGCTGGCGCAGTGTGGCCAGGTGAGAAAGGAGTTGCGCAGAATGCAGTAGAGCACCGTGTAACACGCGAGCCGCGAGGGCAGGGCAAGTGAACAAATCTTGACCAAGACAAACGTCGTCAGATAGACGTGTAAAGAAATGAGTCTCCCTCGAGAAGACGATGCTGCCACGAGGATCTGGGATGTATCAGTAGATGGACTGGGTGAAGTGTAGTCGGGGGGCAAGCCAAGGTTATTGTTTTACGTACGTGGGCACAGATGTCCGAATAAAGCACCCTGTCGGCAGAACGAACAATCAACGAAAAGCCGGAGGATGCGGTCAGCGTGCAATGGACAATCGCAGGCGTGGCGGTCGCAACACGGGGACCGATCAGACAATCGATGAGAGCAGGTCGGCGTGTTATTGCTGGCGGCTCGCTGCGTCTCATTCATTCAGGCCTTTGCCCATGACTTCCCGGTTGCCAAATTTTGGAGGTTCCAGCGCACGCGCACCAGCCACAAGCGCAACAGCCTTCTGAGTGGTCTCGGCCCAGGGACGCTGTGGGTCTCAGCCGTGTGTCTATGCGAATCTGGCAACGGGCGTCGGCCAATGGGAGCAAGCAGCCTGCCGGGGAATGGATTATGCCGCTTCTGGCCTAGTGCTGCCCATTGCCCCTTGCGGATCAGTGACATGCGATTCAAGTTGTCCAGTCCGGGCCTGGTCCGGGCCTGGGCGACACTGGGAGTGACGTGTAGACCCGCTGACGGAGCGACGGGAGGGCCGCTGGAGGGAACTTGTCTCGCAGAGAACGTGCGCTGCCTGACGGGATTGCGACAAATCGCTGGTGGTTAGTCACAGTAAAGAATTCATTTTATTCGTCTCAACTTCCATGTCTGTATACGCTGCACTATAGTAACAAGAGCCCTGTCGTTTGTGTAGAAGAGCAAGAGATCTGTAGTGAGGCGGTCGTTGTACCTCAAGGTACCTAGGTCGGTTAACAGTTGACAACTAAGACCTACCTACCTGCCTTAGGTGCGGTGCTGCGTACCTTTAGCTACAGTGCGGGCATAGGCATGGAAGCTGGAAGCTCCAAGCTCCGTCCGGCAGACGCAACGCAGCACAATCCACCGGCCGTTCTCTACTCCAGTCTGTGTCGCATCGGCCCGCCTGTATAACATTGCATACTGAGCGACACAAATTGCGACTTCTACGGACGACCTGCACGACCTGCACGACCAGTCAGCGCTTGCGCCGCGGCTTGCTACCGAATCATCACTCCTGATCCAGACAACTGGCCCACTGCCATTGTACCGCTTGCGGCCGGTTCCCCCACCACATCCCATCGTCTGTCTATCCGTCTCCTTACTCTGGGCACCCACGGCCCTTCCCCAGCTGCGATGGCCTCCAAGAAGAAGTCAGTGCCTACCGACGACGAGCTTGGCGAGCTCTTCTCGGGCATCGGCGACGACAGCGGCCCCAAGAAGTCGGCCAAGCCCAAGTCGGCTGCCTCCAAGGCCCGCGGCGACAAGGCCGAGGACGACATCCTGGCCGAGCTCGAGAACGAGCTGGGCGACCAGCCTGCCCGCCCTCACACGCCGCGCATCAAGGAGCAGCTGGCGCCCAAACGTACCAGCACTGCAACACCTCCGCCGGCGGCGGCCGGCCGTCTGTCCGAGGATAAGCCCAGCGTCGCCCGCAAGTCGGGCGAGAGCACCCGATCGTACCATGCCAGCTTCACGCCGAGTGCCACCAGCTCCGACCTTCAGGATGCCGAGAAGAAAGGCCCTGTAGAGCAGACTGCCGCCCCTGCTGCCGCCGCCGCCCCTGCCTCTGGGGGAGGTGGATGGTGGGGAGGCAACTGGGGCGGCATTGTCGCGTCGGCCACTGCGACCGCTTCCGCTGCCATGAAGCAGGCCGAGGCAGCTTACAAGGAGATCCAGCAGAATGAGGAGGCCAAGAAGTACATGGAGCAGGTCAAGGGCAATGTGGGCTACATCAGAAGCTACGGTAAGTCTGCGTGAAGAGCAGTCCAGCAATGTAAATTGACAGAGCGTTTCCCCATAGGCGACGAGTTGCGGCACCGAGCTCTCCCAACCTTTACCAACATTCTGCACACTCTTGCACCGCCGATCTCGTCCCACGAGCGCTTGCTGATTCACATCACCCACGACCTCGTCGGCTACCCATCCCTGGACCCCCTCATCTATGGCGTCTTCAGCCGTGTCATGTCCCAGGTCGAGGGAGGAGACTTACTGGTCATCCAGCGAGGTCACGAGAGCACCGCTCGTCGTGCCTCTGACGCTGCCTTTTACACCGCGTCTTCGTCGTCCGCCGGCTGGCGCGACGGCCCTTGGTGGCGTCAGGTGGACACCCCGAGGGACCTCGGTTCAGTTAAGGGGCTGGTTGAGGGTTCAAAGCTGTGTCGCGTATCGGCGGAGAGCTATGCACACGATTTCTTCGCTTCCAAAGGCGGTATTGCCGAGGTGCAGAAACGCGCACTTGAGCCCGTCAGCGACGAAAACCCAGTGAGAACGAGCGACATCTTCCTTGCCGTGCAGGCCATCACTGTCGACGCAGATTCGGCCTTGTTCGCTGGCAGCACAGCTGGCGAGAAGGAGAAGGAAGAGAGTGCCGTTGCAGATGCCGCCGGCGATACTCAGATCTGCTTCGCTGTATACGTCTTCGACCCTGTCCACGATATTACATTCAGCACCATTTCGCAGGACATCCCGGCCAAGTGGATCCAGTGGCTCGATGCGCCTAGTCCTCTTACTCCTGCCAGCGGTGACACCGAGGAGCAGCAGTCCCCCAACGAACTCATGCTCGTGCCCGATGAGATCCGTGAGATTGTCGAGAACGGTGGGGTTGACCCGAGGGAGTGGGTTGCTGAGTGGGTCGAGGAGGCCCTCAGCCTGAGTGTGGGCGTCGTTGCGCAGCGTTATGTAGCCCGGAGGATGGGTGTTGGCGAGGGTGGACTTGGGAAGGGCAAGCAGAAGATTGATTCTATTATGCAGGAGGGCGGTGGCGAGGCTGCCAGAGCTGGTCTTATCTAGGTATGCCCACACCCCGTACCCAACATGGTCGGATGGCTCTTCCAGTGCCATGTCTGGCTGTCGCCTGCCTCGCTCCTTTGCCGCTCGGCCTTCGATTGTTATCCCGGGAGTTGTGGGAGTTCTTGTGTTCCCCGAGGTTGGTCTCGACATCCCTCAGATGTATTGAAGTTACAGTGCCAGGTTACTTTTCTTTCTGTAGCATAGCTCGAATGACAACAATCGAATCAACATGTGGTGCGTCAAGCAGACATTCTGAGAATCTCTGGACAATAGAAAGACGATGTCGTGAAACAGAATGGCCTCGGTAGGAGCAGAGATGGGGTTGCCGGCTTCTGGCCTCTCACGTCGGCCCTCAGAAAGAAAATCCGGTCACACAGGGGACCGAAATGGAATAATCAATAACCCAAACCAAACCTCGCGAGGCACAACCACACCAAAAGCAAGCTGAGGTCAGGCTTCCGTCGCAGTCAATCTCAGAGGTTTTCATTTTATTCTCAGAGTCCTTTCGAGATCTTCTTCATTCCCGCCATCTTGTTCACTGCCCTGACCTCACCTTTGATCCCGAATAATAATTGCTGAGAATCGATGCTCGTCGGGGCTGGTAACAAAATTTCCAGCGCTGAGAGATGGCTTCCTACGCAGGCGGTGCGATGGCTAGCAGCAAGCGCAAACCCGAGGAGGCTCGCGATTCAGATGGCGACCACGAAGTTGGCAGCAACGTGGATGGCCTCTCGCGGGGCACCTTCCACCTGCAGGTCGCCTCGGCAGATGACGCGATCGAGTTCATCAACCGCTTCCGCGACGCCACGTCCTTCAGCGTGGTGGCAGTCCGCTCGTCCAGCGGTAAGAGACAGAAGTCGGTGGCCGTTGAGCAACAGCCTGTCCCTGTCATCAAGCAGGAAGTCGATTCTCGTCCGGCCTCGACTGCCTCGTTCACCCCGGCGCCGAGCCAGGTCACAATCCTGTCGCCTCCCAGGCCTGTAGAGCCCTGCGGCAGCTGCGGCGGAGGCGGGCACCAGGCCATTGACTGCGTAGACCCGGACGCCGACGGCTTTCTGGGCGCGTGTCCTCTCTGCAACACGAAGTCCCACGAGTTCTACGAGGACTGTCCCCTGCGAACCAACAGCCTCGAGCAGGACGGCAAATGCCTCCTCTGGCGACGGCAGCGCAAATGCCAGGTCAAGTCCAAGCTCCGCCTCGATGTTTTGCTTGCAGCTCTAGTCCAGGCGGGCCACCCTCACTTCACCAGCCCCAATGGCAAGTTCTACCTCCCCCACAGCCCCGGCTTCGCGAGCGATATCTATCAGAAGGAGGTCAGGTCCACCATCGACCACTACCGTCACCGGGCCTGGGCGTACCTGCAGCTGCCTGAGGACAAGCTGTGGCAGCGAGCTGAGAATCTGCTCAAGGAGGAGGCGCGAGAGTTCGACACCATGGAGAACGCACTCAAGATCCTTGCGCGATGCCACTGGCCCGAGGTTCTGTCGCAGCTGAAGCTTAGGAACGAGGCAGCTGATGGTGTGTCTGCAACCTAGGCCATGTTGCAGACGATTTGACTTCCCTGCCACACCCGGGTTTCACTTTAATGTGCGACTCGCTTCTTCATCAACAATTTGCAGGTTCGTAGGCCTTGTAATGAATTGTGACACAAGACTTGGGGACAAATCTTCGGCCATTGTCTCCATGATTCGCATACACGCAGCAATCAAAGGGCTGCGCACGTGACGTCAAAGGAGGTGGACGTGGAGGATCACGAGGACTTTGGACTTCCTTATTGAAGAGCAGTCACAACTAGTCAGTCAAGACGCATAGAGGGTTGTAGTGGATCTGCTTTGTTGTCTTATCCAGTCAAAACCAATGGTCATCAGCTTTCAGTGCTTCTTATAGTGTGTCTGCAAGGGTATAACGAAAGCAGGTCACGCTTGTCACAGGGATTATGCATCAGATGACAATGTATTTAGGGATAGTTGCCAAGAGGAGGAACATATCTTCTCAATGATAATCTGCTTTAGTGATGAACACATCAACTAGTGTATGACTCCTTTACGCCGTGCTCCTTCGTATATGCTTCGAGGCCAGTGAGGTTCATGCCATGCGAAATTTCAATGACCAAAGCCGGGCATGCCCCTAATTCTTTCTTCTGCTATGCGGGGCCAGTAATCTGTCGAATAATAATACTACTATTCGATAGCACCAAACAGTTGCCCCGAAATACTCCCCTCCGCAACAAACCAGCCGCTGCGCTGCTTAATGCACAACAGTCGCCGACCGTTTCACCAACAAGCAAGCAAGAGAGTTCTACCCACTAGCGCAGTGGTTAATAGTCCGACAATAACTTTGGTACGCCAGCTAATCAAGAGTATACGTAGTTCGACACCCCGCACTGTCCGCAGCTCAGTCACCTCACCACTGGGTTCCCTGCGCTGACCGGCCCCCGGTAGACACCGCGCGTGCCCCGAAAAGGTTTCTTTCAAGACCTTGTAAGTTGCTCATATTTCTCTAATTAACCTCGGTGTGATGGTGTTGGTCGGATTCTCTTGCTTGCGTGCAGTCGGGGATGGTGTGGCTGCTGGGGGCTGCCGTGTTGATCGTTCGGTCTGGGTAGCCATTCCCCGTCTCCCATTATTGTTTTTCTCTGCTTTTTTCTTACTGATTCTACCAAGTTGTTTTACTCTCTTTATTTTGTCTACAAGATTAGTCAAAAGAATCAACATTGTTCCTCAAGCGTCTTGCGCTTTTGTCTGAAGCGCACCGGGGTAACCTGTTTGCTGCCTTTCGCAGGACATTGGGGAGAAGCAAGAAATCTCGTGAGTCAAGCAGAAGTTGTCATATTTTTCATCGAACACCTCAATATTCTCAGTGTCCTAAGCGATGTTGGAAACGCATAGTCTTGCAGCCATATTAACTATTACTATAAACGCGTCTACTCAACATTGCCCAAACTCCCGACGACTTTGAGCTCCGCCTTGGCTCTCCGACTGGCACCCTGCAGCTCAACGCGCTTCAGGGGGCGATAAATTGGAGCCCACATCTGCTCCTTGATCCAGTCATCGAGGTCCTCCTTCTCGGTCGGAATGTCCTTCTCAGTGGCCACACCTTCCTCGATCGCCGCCTGTATGACTTCGCGAGCAATCCTCACGCTAACCTCCCGCACGTTGTCAACACCAGGTACAAGGGGGGCAGTCTCGTCTTTCAACGCTGGACTCATATCTGCAACACCCTGCACAGCTGCCACGAGCATCTTGTCCGTCACCTTGGAGGCACGACACAAGACTGATCCGAGGCCAATTCCCGGAAACACGACAGAGTTGTTGCACTCGGCTGCCTTTATCTCAATCTCCTTGCCGTCTTTGCCCCATGGTCCCTTAACTGGCTTGAAAGGAGATCCAGTGGCAACAAGAGCCTTGCCATCCGTCCACTTGAGGAGATCTTCTGGCACAGCCTCGTGAAGTCTGGTCGGGTTTGAGAGGGGAAGAATGACTGGGCGCTCGGTGTGCTTAGCCATCTCCTTCACGATCTCCTCCGTGAAAGACTTTGGCTTGGTGGAGGTTCCAATCAAGACATTCGGCTTGACCTCTTTGACGACATCAAGGAGCCCTTTGCCGTCTGAATCATCCTTCGCGTAGATTTTCTGGGCTTGCGAGAGGTCGTTGGTCTTGGTGGTCAGGAGGCCGGGTTTGTCGATCAGCCTAAGCGAAACGTCAGCAAGATTGCGTTGGATTATCAAAAGTTTCTCCTCAAGAGTAAAGAATGAGAAACGGCTAGTCGCATCAAACTCACCAGATCTGCTTCGCCGCATCCTCGCGGCTGCAGCCCTTATATGTGGCAATTGCGTCACGGACTTGGTCTGCGATTCCTACACCGGCTGTGCCTGCACCAAAGACGACGAGCTTGACGTCCTCCAACTTCTTCTTTCCAACATGTAATCCAGCCATGATGGCCGCGAGTGTTACGCAGCCAGTTCCCTGAACGTCATCGTTGAAGCATGGCACCTTTGGTCGATAGTGGTCTAAAATGCGGCGGGCTACAATGATGTTAGTGTCAGTGATCACCTGTTCGTTGGAGAAAGCTCACCGTTGGTTAAGCCGAAATCTTCGAAGTGAATGTATGCGCGAGGGAACAGTTTGCGTGCGGCCGTGACAAATGCATCGACGAACTTGTCATACTTCTCTCCGCGAGTTCGCTTCTGTCTGAGTCCCAGGTAAAGGTCATCTTTAAGCAGCTCCTCGTTGTCGGTACCACAATCCAGAACCACTGGCAAAGTACGGTCTGGGTGAATTCCGGCACATAGAGTCGTGAGTGTCAGCTTAGCACTGGATATCAGCACACCGCCGACACCTTGATCGCCAATGCCGAGGATCTCCTCCCCATCTGAAAATGATTAGCAGCTTGCCTCAGAGGCAGGGAGTAGTCATGGGCAAGCCGGCTTACCCGAGACAACAATGTAGTCGATATCATCTGGCGTTCCCCATTGACTGAGATCGTGCTCCACACGGTCTATGTCTTCAATATTGAGAAAGCATCCCTCAGGTCTTCGGAATAGTCGAGAGAAGTTCTCAATGGCGTCTCCCTCAGTTGGAGTGTAGACGACGCTGAACATCTCTTGCATGTGATCTTGCAACAGCTACGATTAGTTAGCATCATGCATCTGCTACGCACACGGGCAATATTTTTCTGGTTATTGTCGTCATTGCAACATTGACGAAGTTCTCCTACCTTGTAGTACAAAACTAAGTTCTGCTCCTTCATCGACGTTAGGAACGTATTTTTGGCGAGGTCATCCTGCCTGGATGAATACTGCTGGTATGCCCTCTTGGCCTGCTGCTCCAGGGTTTGGACACTAGTGGGCAGCAGACCAGTAAGGTCAAAGTCCCGGCGCTCGTCGGCCGTGTGAGCTGAGCCCTTATTGAAGTAAGGGGTATTCAGTAGAACCGTGCCACTCACGGCACAGTCAACAGGTCCACTGGTGCTGAGAGGCAGGTTGGAATACTTGGACTTGGAACCTGACGCCATGGCTGAGGAGGTATGAAACCGAATTGGATGAAACAGCAATCGGGAAACGATCCGTCGTGCACAAAAGTGAACGAGACTCATGGAACGATATTGTTGAAGTCTGCCGGTTTCCTCGTCACACCAAGGGCACTTTTATCTACAGGAGCTGAGAGAGGCAGTTGATATATCTTTGCTTGGCATTAAACAGGACTAATCTGGAGCTTGCGATGTGGTGTGACGTCGTCACTGCCCGATCAATGTCACTGGGGGCAGCCAATGGACCGAATAGGACGATGCAAGTGGGGGTTTCCGCGGGCGCGAACGGCCTGGACGGTAGGTATGGCAAGCTGGACGCTGACTGAGCATCAGCCCACAGACGCCAGACTCCAGGCAAGGACCAATTGACCTGGCAAGCCTGGGCCATGCACGGTAATATGTAGGAGCTCTAGGAGCCTCGCTCATGTATGACAGATATGATGAGCGTGGACTATGATGGCCCATTGTTCTAGCAGCTTTTAGGACCCCAGCGATGTAAACACCGCCAGAGCATGTCACCAAGCCCTCTTGACACCACGACACAAGACGTGAAGTAGCTGAAAGATCATCCGAAGAAGACTCGTGGGAAGCGAGTGGCAGGAGTACGGTTGCTGCGTCAAGTGCTTGCAAGCACCAACAGAAAGACAAAAGGAGACAGATCGGCTACTATGGCCGCCTTACCTAGAGACATTAGGCATCGTATTCATTGCTTTCGTCCCGAATGGTCCCGATGATGATGCCAGAGTCGGTGATGGTTTTGGGAACGAAATTCGCGAAAAATTTTGGTCGCTGAAGAAAAGGCGCCGCAAATGGCGCACAGGCCACTATAAAGCGGGCCGCCAGAGTCCATGCGGCGCGGGGCCAGCGGGTGGAAGCGCCTATCACCTTACCTAGGTACCATCCCTAGCTCAGGCTAGGAGGCATTGGATGGCAGTATCTCACAACTCCATTGGCATCCATTTGAGGCTCCCTGTATCCCTTTGGACCAGTCAAGCAAAACACCGCATCCTGTCTCGTGCAAAGCGACTGCTACTACACTTTGAGGATGACATTACCTCGGCCGAACTTTGGCTGGATATGCAGCCTTGGTAGAGATTAGATCTAAGAGCTGACGCTTTCCGACTACGATCCATCCAGTCAATGCTGGTGCACCATTTAGCCAATTTTTCGATGGCCGCATTCCTGCGGCCAGCTTCTGACATGCAGCAATGTGAGGAGAATGAGGAGAAATCCTTGCCTGACTACTGCTTGTTACCTATCAAGAGGTAGGTCTCTTAACCCATGGGAATAGTCAATTCGGTTCCCTGAATGGGTTTGTCTCATGGCACGTATTCAAGCTGTCAGACGTTCCTGCGAAATCCTGCGTAAGCCTAGCATTGAAAGCCAAGACGTCCTGGAGTTCAGTCACAGCACAAATATGGCCTAGTCTAGACCCAAGGTGCCGAACCACAGGCCCCGGTAAAGGGTCGGCCCTGCATATATTCACCTGCTGACCGGGCGCCTCCAGATGTGACACCACAGTATTTCCTGGGCGGGCCAGCTTGGTCGACCAATCACGGAGCCTGCCACAGTTGATCTATGCCAATCCCAACGCATAGCGAGTGCTGATCCTATATTGCTTGCAGGATCTCACCAGGGCTGCCTTGTGTCACACCAGGGCACATGTCTTATTGGATCGCGCGATTCCTGGGGTCAACGACCTCTCACCTAATCTTGCCCGAAAGGACCGGATTATGTGCCTAACATCTCGAACAACAGTCGGTCAACAGCTTACCGCGATGCCGTGCTCTGTCCCTCGTGTACAAATAGCTGCTGTTTGGCACTTGAGCCTTTCTTGACCCGCTTGTCTGCCATGGTTTGCTTTACATCAGTTTCTCGACAGGCCAATAGAACGTACACATGACCAGCTGCTTCAACATTACTGTCCCCCTATTGCTTCCACACCTAAGCTAAAATGCGCTCTCTGTCTTTCGTCGTTGCCCTTTGGTCTCCCATTGTAACCGCCCAAGGCTGGTGTACTGGCGACAAGTCCATCGTGGGATATTGCACGCCAGACACATGGAACGCTCAGCCCATCAATGCTTCTGCCCCAACGAACGACGAATGCCAAGATGCCTGCAGAGGTGTTGCCAGTGACGCAGGGGACTGGTTTGCCAACCTCACAGGTTCTGCAGAGGGCGAACGGAGAAGTGTAGTGGGCTACCCTTGCCAGTTCTCGCTGGGAAGGGGACCCGGCCAAGCAGACCCCCTGGTGTTCTCGTTTGCCAACCAAGATATACTGGACATTTATGACGGCGTCATCCAGAGGTTCGGCAGCAGCGGGAGAACTGCTGCATCGGGTACAATGACATGCGAAGGAAAGAAGGTCTCCTGGTGGGTGGATTAGACTGGAAGAGAACGGTGCCGTGATCACTATTCGTGGATTGAAGATATCATGATACTTGATTGACTTGGTTAATAACTCGCCCCTCAACTTTCATAGTCTTAAAACAGAATTTGTGCCATCTAGCCCCATCCAGAATATAGAGAACAAAGTACTATACATGATCCTAGTCAACAAATATGACTCGAACATATGGTTAAGTCTACCATTTCTGTAACAGTCCAGTAGAGGCCGCTGAACATCCGTGTGCTAGTCGGAAGTACTCAAACGCGCACACGCACACTCGTTATGTTATAACGATGCTCCTATCTCTTTGCCTATCCGCTAACGAGGTTTAGGTACCCTCTCACCTTCTCAATCGAAGTACACAGCGTCAGCCTTGTGCACGCAAATCTTGCCGCTCTTGTTGCTCTTCAGCACAATCCTCGGGTCATCCTCACTCGCCTTGACGCTCTTGCCGTCGACCTCCTTGCTGCTCGTCAAGATCTCTACCACCTCGCCGTCCACATACCCGGGCAGGGCCTTCCAGTGCACCTGTTGACCCTTCTCGGGCAGGCGGCTGTTGGACCCTTGCGTGCTCGGGTCGCGCGGCTCGTCGTGCTTGGATCCGACCTTCCCCTCGGCGGCTGCGGCGTTGGGCTTCGAGGCGTCGACCTTGGATGAACCGTTGGTCTTCTGCATCTTGGACGTGCCGGCCTGCGACTGCGGTTCGGGCTTGCGTTTCGTTCCCTTTTGGTCCTCGGCGTCCTCACCGGACCCGTCCTCTTCGCTTATGATCTCTTCCTCATCCTCTTGCTCTTCCTGTTGCTCGTCTTCATCGTCTTCAACGTCTTCCTCATCTTCCGCGTCCTCTTCTTCTGCTACTTCCTGGTCTTCCTCGTTGCTGGCTACTTCTTCATCTCCGGCATTTTCCTCGGCTACCTCATCGTCTTGCTCGACATAAGTCTCGTCATCTTCTGGGGGCTCTTGCGCCGGCTGCTCAACCTCCTCCTGCTTCTTCTCTTCATCCGCTGGTCCAGCCATATTGATATGGCTTCAAGTCTGGAGGAAGCTGCACTATGCGGAACAAGGCAAATGTTGCGTTCGCGTTCGCTGGCAGAGTGTGTATGTTTTAACGTAAACCGGGAGTCCGTACTCCCTTTTCGCGATGTAATCTTACCCGCACACGCGAGGAGAGTTTCACCTAGGACCCTAAAGTACCTTACATTGCTGCGCACGTCGTTTGCGTCATCGACTACGCGCGTTCCTGGGCGCCGGGGGAAGTCCCAGCGACAAGCATCTTGGCTACATGCGTAGCCAAAGCTTATTACGACGACCTAGCTGTAACTCTGCACCACATTTTAGTGCCTGCAGCCACCGTGCCAACAAAGGAGTAGTGCGTTCAGGCTTCTACTTCCGGCAATCGGACACATGGATGTGTATTCAGATGCACTTTACACAAAACCTCAGTTGATAGCCGTGATACAATTTTTTAATATTCATATAAACAGTGCAGGCTGGGGAATATAGGCAATCAACAATCGACACGCCGTCTGGTTATAACTTGAAAGAGGCTTGAAACCAAGGTAAACTTGGGAGGAAAGATTCGTCACATGAGTATAAAGTGAACCCGACTCCGCCCAACGTATCTAGCAACCGCCGCCGCCGCCACACTGTGATTTCGTTAGCAACACTTCATGAAGAGTAATTATGCTGGACTTACGCCGCCTCCTCCACCGCAGCCTCCGCCGGCGCCGCTGCCGCAAGAACCTCCGCTGTAGCCCCCTCCACCTCCACCACCTCCGCCGCCGCCTCCGCAGCCTCCTGCTGCCGAGCACTGGAATTGTCAGTACCATGGTTTCATCAGTCTTTAGGCGTGGACTTACCGCAGCACCAGCTCCACAACCACCTGATCCTCCACAGCCACCTGCCGCGGCACCTGCGCATGCCTGTTCGCCCGTCAGCTACTATCCAGACCTCCAGAATCACTGAAGAGCAAGTACTTACCCCGGAGCCAACTGCTCCTCCGCAGGATCCGGCGGCACAAGCGCCAGGTGTACCCGTCCCAGCTGTCGCAACGCCTGGGTCACAATAGTAATAACCCGGTGTGTAGTAGATCGGGTAGACCCATGGACTAATTACAGAGAAATCAGCACCACCCTTGCCCGACTCATCCATCGAAAGGCATGGATTGCAAGGCGATAGACAACTTACCCATACATCATATACGGATACCCCCAGTAGTAGTAATACTCGTCCCTTGGCGGTAATTTGCGACCCTTCTTCTCAGCTCGCTTTTGGGCCTTCTTGTAATTTTCATCGAGCCGCGCTACTTGTGCTGTGTGCATGGCAAGTAGTGCTACGTTCCGCTTGGAATCGGCATCGACGTATTTGACGGCGTTATGAGCAGAGATGTGGGCCGAGGCATTGATTTGCTCTACCAGAGTCATAGAACTCGTTAGAAACTAATTAAGTTAGCCAATCGGTCGCATATCCCACGGCGCTTCCTCAGGGATTTCTTACTCTTGTCGCCCTTTGAGACACCAAATAATTTCCCTACAGAGCTGACATGCGATGTTCGTACGCTTTCACAGTACCAGCAAGTACATTCGCTGTACACTTCCCCAAAAAGATCCTGGTAAGTCTTGCTTGTCCACTCGAATGCGGAGTTGAGCTTGTCCTCGTTGATCTTGTCGTCATGGTCGATGAATTTAGAAGTTTTGCTAACCGTGAAGTCGTGGTACGATCGGGGACTGAGTTGATGAGTATGCCAAGCCAGATCTACATCCAGCGTAGGAACTACGACTCGGTCCTGGTAAGAAGCCATTATCGAAACAAACCGTTGATATTTGGCAATCAGACGTTTCATCGTGTCTAGAGCAGCCGGACTGTGCAGCCAGTCAATCTGCTACCCCATCAGTATTCGAATCCATGGTTCTCGACGACTTTCCCAGTGACAAACCTTGTGCATCTTGTCTGTAAAAATACCCTGTCGCATGACAGCGCCGCCAAGCTCAAGAGCGAAGGGTGAGGAGTTGCCCCAGTAATGAGCCATCATTTTCCTAACGGGTATCCTTGCCCTTTTTGTGAGCCGAGGACGGCCTAGGGCTGAAATTCCCGTCATCCCTTCGACCGCCCTCACAGTATCAGGATCTTTGAGGGCCTCCTCGATCATGCTTCGGATGGTCTCCATGTTCGCAGGGCGCAAGATCGAATCCATAGTGGTTGGCCGTAGATCCCGTTCCGCGTTGATCAGCGGTAAGACTTCATTCCATAGGTGATTCTGGATCAGCCGATTGGGGAATAAAAGCTCCAGCTTGACGGGATCAAAATGGCGCACTAAAAGCTTCTCTGGCAACCCAGTTCGGTAGTCCAGAATCGTCCCTGGCATTGGCTGATTCTTGCTTAGAAGCGCCTTGGTGTCGTTGATGAACTTTGCAACCTCAAGAAAGTCCCTGGTGATCTCAGTTGAGCATTGGAAGCATATATAGCTGAATTCCCCGTCGCCGTAGCCTGAGCCTACCAGATCCGGCCGGGGTCCTTTAAAGTCTTCGGGTACTCCACAAGTTGTCCATGGAATCTCTAGGCGCTCTAAGCAAGCTGGGCACTTCAGCGTCTTCATGACGGAATCCCCAACGTTGTGCCACGCTCTGCCGGTGGCGGTCGTCCAAGCCGTAGTGCAACCCTGCGAGACCTGGTAGTTGAAGCTGCTGTCTACAGCTTCGTTAACCAATTTCCAGGGGAAACCAGCCGTCCAGAGGTCTCTCCTCCCCGCGCGGATGCAGTCCTCTAGGTAATCGTGTGGGTTAAGGCAATGAGCATGCCAAACCATGAGGACATCTAGAATCGTCAGTTTCCTTCTTCATATCTAATACTTTATTGCGCCCATACCTAGCGGAGGCAACATTTCGGCAGTCCATTGCATTGTCGTCGCACTATTGACAAACTCTCCATACTTTGGAGACTCGGCGGTCATATCATCAATCGTCAGAGGATCTGAGGGGAGTGAATTCCACCACACCTCGTAACGATCTACTGCCCGTGCGACATATACAGCCCACCGCTTCTCTCGAAGCTTGGCCAGTACGGCCGCCGGATCCTCGTCGCCATCCGTAGACCTGGCAGCTCGAGCATCGAAAATTTCCCACAGCCCATCGGTGTATCCGACATCCTCTTTGAGATTGTGGAAAGCCGAAAGAAGCTTCAAATGGGCGAGACACGTGCTCTCGTCCACCTTCTTCACTATGTCAGGAATCTGCAGCGACGAGAAAGCGGCATTGAGGCTCGCGATCTCCTTCTCGGAAAGCTGTCGTGGTGGGCCTTGAGGTGGTGGAGCGCTAGCGACAGCAGTGTACGGTGGCGGAGCGGAGTTGTCGGCGGCAGGCGGCGGACTGCTGCTCTTGGCGTCGGTTTTGTAAGCCATGGTGAACTCTGCTCAGTCAATAATTGGCTGTGCTGAGTTGCAGGTCATGGACAACTTGCGAATGGGAAAGTGGCAGATTCACTCAAGGAGAGGCAATCATTGATCCGGACCAAGCATGGAGTGTTGTCTGTCGGGGGATCGTTGGGTAGAGGCCGAAGCAGAAAGCAGTGCCAATGGCGGAACTATCAACATATATTTATCTGCGGCTGAACTTGCCTCCCCGCCTCGTCGACCTCGATGTGGTGACCGAGAGTGTGGCTTCGTCACAGGTCACACGCCTACTCGCCGGTGGGTTTGCGGCAATTAGGGTGCCATTTTCCAATAGACGGGAGGCACAGTCGACTGCATTCCTAAGTTAACTCTAGGCGATTGACACTTCTCCGCCGTGCTGGTGGGCGCTGGCAGGGAGTAGCCGCACACTGGGTGGACTGCTGTGGTTCTCTCCGTGATCCTACACGCCTCCGGGGCGCCATCTGAGCCGCTGGCTTGGCGGGGTCGTTGCTGCGCCTCGGCTGACTGCATGCACATCCATCGGACCGACGTCACTCGCCCTGCTCTGAAGGATTATCGAAGGGCAGCATCATCTTCCATGCATATGCCCCTCTCGGAAAAGTCGTCAGGGTTGTGTCGCCCTGCACGGGGTTCCACGGGGGTTGGAGGGCAGTAGACAAGCACAAGGCAGACAAGAGCCCCTTGCACCCCGGGGCTAACACGAACGTCGCGGGGCAGGCCCGCTAGCCGTTCCCACGACGGTGGCTATGCTATGCACGCTAAAGCGGGTTCTCATGGACCAGAAGCTTGTGTTTTATGACGCTGACGGAAAGTCGCAACCAAGCAAGGGTAATTCACGACACCATCCCCTGTACCTCAGCCTTCATGGCAGTCAATAAGTGGCTGCCTTGCCCCCTCGGCTCGAGAGCGCGGCTTGAACTCGGGTGGTCCATCCTTCAAGTGGTTCCTGTTCTTGACAAATAGTTGTTATGTACCTCAATCAGCGACTACATTTCTCGGTACCTAGTTCCTAAATTGGGAAGGCCGAAAGCTGAGCACGGTATGTCAACGCAGATGAACAAAGGGCAACCTGGAATCAATTTTCTTAATTTGGATATGCAAGTGAGTCTGATCTAATTTGTCCCGGCATCCTGTCCGGTACCTTGACACGGAATCTTTGTCTCCTGTCCAGAGGTCCAATCTTCCTATAGGCAAAGTGACATACCACATCTAAAAGAACCAGTGTGCTTCTGGTGTCTATGTCTATCAGAGCCACTCAGGATTTTTTTTCTGTCGTTTCCGGCTCGTCCGTTGCAAGCGTTTCCAATTCAAGCTGCTCTTCGTGTGCGTATGCAGCTGCTACAGAGCTCCTCATCCTCAGAGAATGTCCTAGCAGGCGACCATGTTCCCATGCGCCTGCGCAAGTGTCTGCAATTTGATCTTCCAACCAGTCCGGCACTGGCTGCTCGCCCTCGGCACTGTCACTATCCTCGGCACTTTTGTCTTCCAAAGCCTGTTCTTTGAGGTAGGCTAACATCGTATACATTTCTAAGGCAAGCTCATCTCTCAGCCGGCGGAGTTCTGCGGGCGTGCACCGATTGATAACATCATCGTCTGCTCCCAAACCCGAGCTCTCGTCCTGTTGGTCGTAATTCACACCGCTGCTATCGCATTGTGCTTCCTCCTCCGCGTCTGTCTGGTCCGATGTAGGGGAGATATATTCATTCAGAATGCCGCTCAGATGATGAGCAGATGCCTCGTCCAAGTAGTTACGATCTGATGCAATGTCATTTTCTGCGAGAGGAGTATCATGGCCGTTCAGCATCCGCTCCGCTCTATCCTCTTCCTCGATGGCCTTGGACAATTGTTCTCTGATTCTGGCAAGGGTCGCCAAAGTTTCCTCGCTGAACGTCTTATGGATGTGGCGCAGGTCGCCTAGGGACTTGTCGGGTCCAATTTCGGGGCCGGCATCGATTAAGGCAGACTCCGGGTCATGAAGTTGTATATCATCGTGTGTGTCACCGGAGTGGGAAGTAGCAGCATTAGTCGTCTCAAAGATATCTTCCTCGACCTTCCTCGAGGTTCTTGGAGGGCTTGGGGGGACAGTCGTAACAGATTCATAGAAGTCGTTTTTAGTCGTGACAGGAGTGACTTGAGAATTTTTTGTCTCACGTTCTTGAACCGATGTAGACACTCCTGCATAAGGCCAACTAGAACGGCGTTCAACAAACAGATTCAGGTCAATGACCAGGACCTCGCCTTTTGTGCCGTTTGAACGCAGAAGATGCGAGACGATTGATGGAAGTCCTTGTAGGCTGAAATGAAAGTCAAAGTTGATGATTTGCGTTGATCGTCTCGCCTGTACGGGCACTTCCCCGAAATTTTCGACAATCAGGCGGAGCCAGTTCCCGAAGCCAGCTTGAGACATCAGAACCGCCGCGCGACGAGCCTGGGCTAGTGGTGTGTCTTCTGGGTCATTAGGATCGATACCGGTCTCTGTCCATTCATAATTTCCCAAAATGTGCTCTAATATAACAGTTCCAATGTATTCCACGAGATCTTTCAGACGTCGAACATCGTAGTAATGCTCGACTAGAGGTTGGAAATGGGCGTGATACGCTGGCAAATCGTTCAGACGTCGGTATATCTTCTTAATATGAATGAGTGCTGATCCCCACGATTGTAGAATACGTATCAAGTTTTCGTCAAGTACGCAAGACTTCGTCGGAGTCCAATCCATTAGCGCGCCCCTTTCTTGAGGATTGAGCACTGTTGTCAGCTCCCATTGGGTATCGGGCAGGGACCAGTAGCCCGAGAAAGGCTGGGTTTGATGGGTAAGGCGATCTCGTGTATGCGTCCTGGGATTCTGAGACTTTGGGGTGTGCTGTGTCTCCAAGCTGCGTCGAGTGTACCCAGTTACCGGCAAGGTGCTGCAAATAGTGAAGCCACTTGTAGCCTGACTATCTGTCGGGCAAACGACAGTACTCATAGAAGTCATGGTGATAATGTACAGTAAATGGACTTCGTAAGTGTGGCGAAGGTGGAACAAGTAAAAGATTCAAGTATACAGAAAGATACTTGTACGTCAATGTTTTTCACGTGAATCAGTGCTGGGTGCTTTGGTGTTGTCATACGCAATGCGTAAATGGCGCTGGGGGTAACGGTCATTAAATATTATTTGAGAGGTAGCTTTCGGAGATTCGACACCCAAGACGCACAGTTGATAAGAAAAGTACCGACAAAAGGTCGAAGTTATCTATATTAACATACGTGTAAACCTGTGATTCATCGGCATTAACTTGCTCGTGTTGTGGTGAAATCAACATACTGCCAACTTAAACCCGAATCAAAACTTTGGCTGATGGCCTTCTTTTCAGCCACGAGAATGTTTTCAAGCAACTCAAAAGTCCCGAACGAGCCACTGCCATCAATCAAAAGTCGTTAGACCGAACTTGAAGATCATTATAGAGCCCATACCTAAAGTTTCGGGTGAGCTTTTCGACCCAATCATTTCCGCTTAAGATTGCACACGTTTCTCCGAATTACTATTTTGGCTACATAATTTCTATAACCTGTCTTGCTGTTACAAACGAGCATCGGCTTGCTGGAAGCTGCGAAGCCTTCTGCCGCTTCTCACGGGGCATGATTGTCAGATGCGAGGCCACTTGATTCATGCGATATGGTTAGTGGTGGTTTTACCAACGTATAGCATAGTGGATGTGCTTAGATCTTAGGGTTCAATTAGGCTCAAAGAATCAGTCAAAATATTTTAACGAAGTGAACCATTAGAGAAGTCATTTCGCACTCAGCGTGCAAACATCATCGCATCCTTGATCAGAGCATATCGTTAAAAGACCAAAACGCGGGGCATAGCTACGCTGATTAGTTCTTGATATGTAATGTTGGCCGATGGTGAGTAGCGCAAGGAGTGAGAGGGGTCTGAGGAAAGCCTACTGCGATGAACATCATGGCCAAGAGTCATCATACCCATTATATAACCGTTACCCAGCCCATTAAATTACTTGTAATTAGTCGAATCACACAATTCAGTCGGTGATACACGCCAAAGCTGTTACTTGGTTTTATGTGAATATGATTTGGGGTTTTAGTGTAGACAGCACTAAAACTTGACGCAACGAGATGAACGGACCAGACAGAGTGAATGGCTCAAAGTAAGGCGTTTCCCCAACTATGGATACATAGAATATTCTACTATGTACATGGATAACACTCCGGTGCTGAAGGAGTCTTAGGTATTTGAGAAGCAGACAAGTACACAAATCTGACAAGCTCCATATCAGCGTTCGAACTCCTATCCTCTCGCCATTGTCAAGTCGCGGTTTAGCAACACTTTCAACCCTCTGTTCAGGTCAGCTCTAAGCGTCGGTGCTCTCGGTGGCCATGAGGAGTCCTTCAGTCCAGTAGAGCTGCTCCGCGCGCTCAGCCTTTGGAAGAGCAGATTCATCAGAGCGCTTAACCTTGGCGTTTTCGTCAGCCAGAAGGAGACCCTCGGTCCAGTAAAGCTGCTTGGCAGGTTCATCATTGGATCTCTTGACTTTGGCATTCTCATCAGCCAGTAGGAGCCCTTCAGTCCAGTAGAGCTGCTTCGCAGGTTCAGCCTCAGAACGCTTGGCTTTGGCATTCTCATCAGCCAAAAGAAGCCCTTCAGTCCAGTAGAGCTGCTTGGCGGGTTCTTCAGAAGAAGGAGCCGGGGAGCGCTCCACGTTTCCCTTCTGTATGTTAACGGCCATAGTCGAGCTCAAGCATTACGGCAAACTTACAGCGACCGGAGCAGCCATTGCAGAGACAGAGCAGAGGCTCAGCATGACGTAGATTGCGTTGGCATACATGGTGAAATGCGTAAGTCGAGACTTCTTGATTGTCTTGTAAGCGAGCTGAAGGGGTAGTAAGGAAGAAGCTGATGTGTAATGGAGGTAGAGTTGCGATGACCTGACTTGAGGAAGTGTGGGCAGATGGCGGCCATTTATAGTTGAACGCCAACAGTTCCAGAAGGATACACAACTGTATCGCGCCAGAGGTCGATGAACTCACTTAACTCCGAGATGCCTGTGCCTCATGGGGTTATTGGCAACCATAGGCGAGGTAGAGCGCTTGAAGGCTTGTCTTCCTCGTTTCGATGCCAAGGCAAGCCACGATATACATGTCCGTGTCTATATACCACGATGACACTGTAGAACCAGGCTTTGCGGGGCTTGGAATAGTATATGATACATGGGAGCCTGCGGCAAAGTATCGCGACGTTATACCTCAAGTTACTTGGTCTTGTGGAGGCTCTCGTCTCCAGAAGCTGACTTGCATCAATATGGGTGTGATACCGCTTGTCATGGCTCAGGATGGTTGGCTGCGGCGGGATTTTGGCTTGAACAAGGGTCCCTAGCCTTGTGGATGGATGTCTGTCTGTCTCTCGGAAGAGTATATTGACTAGTTCTGGTACTTCAGCAAATCGGTAGCGAGCTAGTAGCGGCGTATGTGCGTACCTTGGTCAAGTTTTCCTGTCACTTAACCGGGTTAGGTTCCGAGTTTCCCTAGTTGTCACATCAAGGACTAAGGTCGGGGTTTCCACCATTGGGGCCCATCCATCGACCACTCTTGTGTCCAGTACGTCCTCAGAGCTATTTCAGCAACTGTCAAGGAGCATGCTCCCCCCCAAAATTTTCTCCTCAAGATTCTTCTTAACTCAAATCACTATACTGATATCATTGCATACGCTCTTCATAACCTGTGTTCCTTTGCCACAATGTGGTTGCGTCTAAGCAATGGATATATGCCCCTCAAGTCTTCGATACCTACAGAGAGACGCCCACCATGGAAACGCAGCGTAATGATTATTACGGTCATCAACGTCGGTCTACTTATCGTTTCTCTCTGTCTGCTCGTGGCGTCCTATGGATATTACCACGGTTTGTGGAAGCTGAACGCCCATCTGAGACGTACTTCCACATGGAGTAAGTTGAAAATTCTGAACGATTCATCTCGCCCCGGGTGACGTCGGACTAACTTCTTTTCAGGTCCCGTGTACGATATGATAGACCTGCGACCCCATGTCAAGACAATCAATGGGACACTATTCCCTCCTCAAGAGCCATCCATCGCAAGACAGCCCCCGAACCCAAAAGCTGATGAGCTATGGGAAGAGTATGAACTCCTTCGAGTTATGCCGGTGAATAGGAACTCCATCGTCAAGTTAGGGAAGGACCCAGAAACTGCGGTGAAGCTTGAGGACGAGATATGGGGACTGGGCGACGATGCATATGCGGCAGTGTTCGATGTATATCATCAGATTCACTGCCTCAACGCCCTGCGTAAGATCGCATATGGCCAGTACTACAATGTGTCTCAAGGCCGAACGAATATCTTCAAAACTCGGGAGATGCACATTAACCACTGTGCCGACATCCTGCTGCAAGCACTAACATGCAGCGGCAACGTCAATCTCATCACACTGCATTGGGTGGAGACTCAGAATAACCCATGGCCAGACATGAGCGTTGATCGACAGTGTATCGACTTCGATCGACTTACTGAATTTAGAACGGAGGTCTCGCTGGATATGGATAAGTACAAATATGTTATGAACAAGCCTTTGGGTGTCACACAGCTGCATATGCCTGACCAGTACTATGCGTACTTTGGGAGAGAGAACCCGAATCATGTCAACGGTGTAAACCAAGATGATGACTTTATTTTGTGATGTGGAAGGACATCAATGGTGGGCGGGGCGGCTGATGGCATGTTTGGAAAAGTTTTCTAGCTCGTTAATTCACTGACAATCGCACCATCAAATCACTCAACCTTTGACTCGAAACCTTTGAGAGAGTTTCCATCTTGATTTCCTTGATGGCTATCATTTTGGGCGAGCAACGTGAGCCCTCGCTACCAGTCGAGTTCTAGGGCGGTCAAAGAGTCCGAGATTCTTGGCGTGTCCTAGCAGAGCCTCATGCTCCACCAAACACGTAGTCTATCATAGTATTGTAGCCAAAGAGCACTGATGTGACGGATCTCGCCTGCCGCCAAGCTAGAATGTGTAAGATCTGGTTCTGCTCCACTTCGGGTCTTCCCCGACGTATGTCTCAGCAAAAAACATGCTGGGCACGTGTCTCCCGCCACGCTACACAGCATACGGAGTTGACCTGATTGGAAAGCCGGGCGCATAATTTACGACAAGGTGCCACATCCCATCATCTCGAGTGCCATTCGGCAGGAGCCAAGCAGTATAGCAAGATGGCGCGAGTACTAGAGACCAATTCTCACGGGAAGTGGATCCAACGCTGCAGAGTAATTCTGTAAGGCTGCATATGGTATTTTTGCTAGTGTGCATGCGACTCTGCGGCTCTCATGCAATGCAGGTTTCAAAGGCTGGTCCGATGCTCCATCGCTATCCATCGGGCCGTGTTGACCGAGCCGGGGCGAACTCTTGCATGCTGCAGGAGGCAAACATTCCCGGGACCATTCAGTCTAGACCCATGCAGTGTTCGTTGAGGCTTATGGCAGCCTTGCCGTTGAAGGGTTTCGCGCTACAGGGAAGGTTATGTCACGATCATGAGCGGCAATTTCTGTGGTCGGTAAATACATCGTCGGTGACAATAGAACTATCCACATCCAGCTCCTCATCAAGACTGGTGGCTTCTTCTGGTACGGTTGGCTCCTCTCCTGTCTCGTTGACGAAGACCCCACACAGCGGGTCAACCGAGGAGGATATGTGCCTTAGTAGACCCGGTCTCGTCAATCAGCAAGCCATTACATTCTGGCCCACGTGTTTGCTTGAGACTTGCATCGAAGCCTAATTCTCACATGACGAGGTCTTTCATGCACATTGATCCGTATGGGGTTAATGTTTGCTTCTGTTTCTGTAAGTATCGGCGCTTTTCATCGAGGCCAGGATCTGCTTGTTAGAAATGGCAGTAGCCTTCGCAAAGCCGGCCTCTGTGCTCTCAGTCTGGCAGCAGATAATTTTCATCTAGTGGCCCCTTCCTTCGTTTCCTCCCAATCACGGGAAGTTCTACGCGAAACACATGCAGGATTTAAAGCCTACATAAGCTTTGAACAGGCTCTAAGCCTAGCCGCAGCTGCACGACATCCAGTAAGAGACCTGTCAGCTTGATCACCAGCAGGCTGTCACGGCTGTCACACAGTGCTGCTCACTAATGTAATGGAGGAACTGGCCTTGCCTCCAAGTCTCAGGTACTTACAAGGGACCATCCTGACTGTAAGGATTGGGTTCGAGAGGCTGATTGTTGTTCACCGGCTAAACACAACATGCCTGCTCCATGTGCGGGGAGAGGTTCCCAATGGCCAAAACACCATGTCGGGAATGATGCCGGGCTCGAGAGAAAGTTGGTGGAGATATTTGTGCCAAGCAACGGCTCAGGGATAACCTGGAGGGCGGCCAAGAATAAGGACCGTTTGTGATGGGGCTAGCCGAAGGGTTTCGGTATCTTGCTACGTAAACGTGCTATCACTACTCACAAATGTATTGCAAGAGCGCAGCAAATTACTTGTCTACTTCAATATCCATTTGACATAGATTTGAAGGGCTCCTCGGCTGGATATTGAGAGCCGTACGGAGACAGTTTCAACAGGGTCTGCGCCACTGCTGCTGATACTCGTATTATTGAGACCGTGGAACGAGTCATGTTCAATGTAGAGAAATGGGAGTCCTCGAGAAATCACTATCATCGTCTAAGAGTGTGCATCACCGTGTATTGGAGCAGAGAAATTGGCTCTGAAGTTTCTCTTAACGGTCACCGTTGTGGTAACGAAGGATACTTCCCTTGCGAATTCGCAAGAGGTAATAAGTGACCTTTTCCTGGATGCTGTTTCCTCGAAAGGGAGAAAAGCCATGTGCTGCAAGATAGAGCATCCCTTAAATGGTATGAATTGAACGTATTGATATTGTAAAGCGTCCTACGCTTTAATTGTGAAACCCCGGAAACACGAAATATGCGGGCATTACCACCTTTTAGTAGAAAGCCTGGCTTGTGGAATATTCCGGTCAAGGTCCTTCAGCTCGCCGCGAACTCCAAGAAGGTTACAACCGTCAACGGAGATGCGGCTCGAGTATTATTAGCCCAAGATTGCTTCCCTTCCACAGGTCTGCCAAAAGCTGTGTCTGAACATCGTACCGTAGCTATCTGAGTTCAACAAGAAGAATGAATCAATGCTGCTGGTTGTCGCTTGAGCGGCGGAACATGCCGTGCAACGACACTCCATCATGCTTTACGCTTCAGGCTGGATACCAAGAGTTTGCTGCCCCAAGCTTATCACTCAAGTTTCGCGCATACATTCTCTGGAGCCAGCATGCCGATCACACCAATGCAGTGTGGCTAATAGGCATGATGAGACTGTTCAATGGTCCATAGACCACAGCATTGATGTGAACGAAGTAGCACCCCAATGCCTCTTCGGAGCCATCGGGCAGTCCCAGTGTTCCCTACCTTCATATTTTGATATGCTTCAAGCGATCGTCGACAGCCCGATTAATCATTTGCCGACGAGACACTGCAGAGTACACATATCTGTTGAGGACTAGCACGTCTGGGGGATATAATTACGACTACACGGCGACTGCGAGGGCTTGTTGAAACTGCATCTGTCAGAAGGAATTTGAGGTCAGGTATAATCAGAAGTCCAATGTATGGTTCAATTCATAGAAAGACTGAATCTTGTCCCCTTTCAAGTAAGAGGGACAAGACGGGGATTATATAGCGGACACTGTACGTGTCCCACCGGACCTCCTGTAAACCTAATGCACTGCCTTGACAGCATCCCAGGCTTTGACAGGCCTGATCGACTACCTTGTCCACCAGAGAAGCCTGCATATCGCTGCAGTGCACAGCAAAGGCGACGATGCACGCTTCCCTGCTTTTCTTTGCCGCCAAATGTCAGCGGTGACTACACTCATAAAACTTGGGGCAACTATCAATGGACTGAGTGGGTAATGGCCATGAAGTCCTCTGCCGATTCATTAAAGTGGGTGCTGGCCTTGTACCGTGTGATGAGCTTATTTGACGATGGCGCCCGTACCCAATTTATGATGCCTCCGACTTGGATGGATGTTTACTCCAGCCGAGACAGCAGAAAAGAGGGAAACTTTCCTAGAGGCATTGCTTTGCCGCGGTACTGATTTGAAACAGGCTCGGTGATGGTCAAGAATTACCACTTCGTATTGCCATCCGTTCTGGCAATGTGCGAGACACCGAGTCGCTGCTTAAAAATGGCGCCAATCCCAATATGAGTGATACGCTACAGGGCCTTGTTACACAGGTTGGGCTCCAAGACCTCCCTCATAAGCCCTACAATTGGGCAGGCAGACTCTGTATGCTCCCCCCCTTTTTTTACTATTCCATATCTTCAGGTTGTATCAATGATTTTCTAATACGACCAGACGCCACTATCTACAGCTTCGCACAACCGCGACGACGGCGAGTTTATCATTGTCTTACTACTGAGCTATGGTGCTCGGCTATATGGCGATCGCGACCGTGAGACAGCGCTAGAACGAAGTGCGCTGTTTTAGAGTCCTTCTGGAGAATCGTTCGGACAGAAACCTATGTCAAAGTCGCTAAATTGATGGTCTCGAGAAATCTTTTGCTTGCCATCAGTAATAGATATCCGCAGCGCTCGAGCTTCACGGCTGCGCCATTCGCCCTTTTAGAGAGATCGGCTACGGTTGTGTGCGTCGAGTCCTGGAATCTGGGGACATTCAGCCCCAGAAAACCCACGGGGAACTGGGCAACTTCGCGAGGACTCTGCTTCGCGTCTGAATTTGAATTGGCTTTCGTGCTCAGTCACCATCCAGACTCAAGGGATGTTGAATTCCTTGTATTCAAAATTTCCCAAAGAGATTGAAGCTATTGGAGTAAGGTATAGCCCAACATACATCCTTCACGACGTGATACTTCGCTCCTCCACGCTGCAACACATCACATGATTGAATAAGGGCTATGTTCCATGCGTACTGATCAATGCCAAGGAGATTCGTGCTAGTCTATGCTCAATCACGTTCCCCTTCATGGGCAGCGGGACACTGAAATCTCCAGCAAATGCCGAAAAACAGATTCTCATGAACTTGGATCAAGGCAGATACACGGCTGTGATAGTATGCAGGGTTGGCTCGATTTGAATCCGAGACTTGTGATCTTGGTGTGAAAAGACCAATTACATTCCCTAGGGAACCACTTGTTTAGATTGCTCCTAATAGATACAAAGAACCCAAGACCAAGGTGAGATTTCCGATGCCACATGTGAGATGGGTATTCACGAGCGCCACTCAATCAAACCTCGATGACTGGACGACCGCCTCTCCAACCTTCCCCCTAATCAAGAACCGTCGCTCTCTATCTTGCAGCCGGCACAGTGACAATAACGGTTGTGGTCCCCGGTATCGCCGCCGCATCCGTTGCAGCCGGTGCCGCCACAGGTGGGAGTGTGATCGTAATTGCATTAGCTGGTGCTGCCACGCTTGACGCCGCTGGGTCAGCCGGGGCCGCCGGCGCAGCTGGAGCAGCCGGAGCTGCCGGGGCTGCCGCACCTGGAGGCGGTCCTGCTTGCGGTGCAGCAGGGACGAATGCAGCAAGCTGCAGAGGGATTTGGGCCACTGTACCTCCCACTACAGTAGTCCCATCACCGCTCTGTGCTGAAGCTGCGGACAACTTTGCGTAGTCAACGATTTGTTGCGAGTTGGCTCTGTGTAATGTTAGCTTGGGAAGCCATTTCTCGGGACAACAGCGCAGTGGTATCTTACGGGTTGACGATGACTACTTGGCCGTTTTGGCAGTGAGGCCCGGTGGCACAGTAAAGAAACATTGGATCTGTGTTCAGAACCGGCACTACGGGGCTGTGATTAGCATCAAGTTATATAAATTGTGCCTCAGTGTTGAGCTGAATAGTAAATAGAGGTCAAAGTTAAGGCCCTGAGAAGTCGCCTTCGACGTGTCGTTCCGGGTGGGTAAAGAAAGACGACTCGAAATGACTTACTGTTAAAAGTACCGACAGTGGTTTGGCCGTCTTGGAACGGTATATGTCCTGAGTGAACAGCGGTTGCGACGGAAGCTTGGAGAGGTTGACACGCCGCATCTTGTGCGGACTGCGTGACAGTATGATTACCATTGCTGAACTGGAACTGAACCACATCTCCTACAGCCGCAGTCACAACGTTCGGTACGAACAAGTCCTGCGCTCCACCAACCACGACGGGGATGATCTGGTTAGCCTGGGCTGTTTCTAGGGTTAGTTGTATTCTTTCAATAACTGAGACCTGGATCGTGTACCTGTGAACCCGTCTGGCATGAATGCCGCTCTGGCTTGTGCTGCTGCTTCCTCTGGGGTGACTACAGCCGGCGCTGCTGGTGAAGCATCCTGAGGGATTGGCTGAGGTAGAGCGCTGACGGCAACTGCCAGCAGTAAAGTCTTCATCAAGCTCTGCATGTTGACTCTGATAACTCGAAAAAAGAGGTGAATCGTATGATCGGAAAGGACAGACTCGGTCGGCGTTCTCTCAACAATGTGATTAAAAAGAATGTATACCACAAAAACCGGTCTACGGCCTTTTCTCACCTGGAGGGAGTTATCAAATGACGGCCAAAGAAGCGAACAAGCGAGAGAAATAAGCTTGAATTAGAGTGGTGGGTTTCCGGAAGTAGAGATATAGTACCTCCACCACGGAGAGCCCAGATCCTCCCGTTGCATTGATCAGAACCAGTCATCCACATTACCGACTGAGAGATGCCTATCTGCCGGAGAGCCTCATCATATCTCTCCAAGGCCACAGCCACTGAGGGATACGTCCCCCTGACACAGGACCTCCGTGAGTCGAACGATGTTAGCAATGCTGGTCAGCGGAGTCCTCGGTGATATGGGAACCCTGAAAGCCCACCAGTATTGGTAGCAACGAGAGGTACATTGGCTCCAAGCCTCCTGGAGCTGCCCGCCTTGGCTATCGGGTAGTTTGAGGTTATTCCCAATGCAGTGCTTTGAGGCTCTGCCAAGAACCCTGGCGACAGTGCAGATCAGCTGGGCGATCTTATCCATTGGATCTTCACGGCATCGCAGATCCACATGACATGCGTAATCCTGTGTTTCCGAGTTGACAGCACCAAGACTTATAAGACCGCATCATCCGAGTAGAACACTGTAGAGAAGCTAAGGGTGTGGAGCCGATGTGGGCGGCAGGGCTGTCGGACGGGTTCCACTGTTTCGCATCAACTTCAGATGGCGACCTGAGACCGTTGGCGAGCTCGGCAGCAACCGAAAGTTCGGTCACCGGCAACTCATGGTCGGAAATAGAGAAAGGCACATAAAGGTGCCTTGGTAAGAAATCAGACTATGAGTAAGCCATCTCATCGGCAGTTTCCCTTCTACGAATATGGTCCGGTCTGATGTTTTCCCGGCATGCACTGGACAAGACCGGGCTGAATGTGGCCGGCGCGAAAACAATTAATTATAGGTCTTCGTTATCCCTCTTATGTCCGCGTTGCGTCCATGACCTTTTTATGTGGATAAGAGTAAACATTCCACTAGGGGTCGGAGGCGAGGTCGCCAAACGTATAAGATTATAAGGTATCGCCGACAATTTAGCGATTACATACCTACGTGCACCAGGCTATGGACTCCGCCAAGTAAAGGTAGTCGCGAATTTCTACACATCACTGACGTACTGACCGCGGCATAAACCAAAGGACTCGCGTGCCCCATACATTACCCTTCCGACCTGATACTTAATTCTTAAGACTCCTCTCCGTCGGTAGCAGAGCACGACTCGGTCAGAGGAAGAGTGTGGTTGGTCAGGATTGGGCGAACTGTCTGCTGTCGTCCACGCCGTACCAAGAAATTCTCAGAGGGGTCGCAAACCGAGAATGCTAGTGGCAGTATGGAATAGGCGCCGAGAACGCCTCTTGGAGTTCTCAGGCATCCAGATTCCTACATAGCTGCCAGTATTTGGTCACACCAGTCTCCCAAGCGTGGCACTTTGTGAAAGTGACAATCTTTCTTCAATCCTTCCTGGTTGTGGGGCTGACAATATACGGTATGATGGACTCCACATTGAGGCCCTCGCCGGTCCCAATGCGGTAACGTCCGGCTCCTTTGGGGGCCGTTAATCTTTGCCCAGGCCAGTCATACAGTATCTTACGCGCACCGGGTGAGTCAAATCTATCTCGGCGTACCCTAAGTGGGCTGCGTATAATCCTACAATTGCCATGAGGTGCGACATACCGGTGCGATGGAAAAGGCTGAGTAAAGCCTACGTAGGCCCCATGCACCTCTAGGCGTTGAAGGCGCATCATATAAGGTCATGTCATGGTAAGACGACGATTTATCAGTCTCAATAACCAACATCAAGACAGCCCAGCATCCATCGCCAGTTGTGATGACCTGTACGATTATTCACTCCAGTTGACAATAGAAATCTGCCGCCTTATCAAGCAAAATGCGTGCATCCCACTTCATACGTGGGCTCTACTCTGCCACCGCCGCCTTGGCAATGCCATCGCATGCACGGCAGGGGTCCTCACTTCCCCTGCCGACCAAAACCATCTTCCAATTCCCGTCCCCGGGGCACTGGGCCGAGAACATTGCCGTGCGCGAGAACGGTAACCTCCTGGTCACCCTGCTCCTGCCGGCTGCCGAGCTGTGGGAGATCGCTGCCCCGTACTCGGCTGCGCCAAGGGCCGGGTTGGTCTACTCCTTCCCCAACCTAACGGGCCTCGTGGGTATCACGGAGACAGCCCCGGATACGTTTGTCGTGGCCGGGTCCAACTTGGCCAACGTGTCGGATATCCGCTCGGCGGTCTGGGAAGTCAGGTTTGACGGCGACCAGGCCACCCCGCGGAAAATCGCCGACCTCTCCGGCACCGGGGTGCTGAACGGCGTCGCTGCGGTTCCCGGCTGCGGCAAGTCAGAGCCCTCTGCCGTGCTCGTGGCCGACTCGATCAAGGGTCGGGTCTACCGCGTGGACACCAAAATGAACAGCTGGGAGACTGCGATAAGTGTGCCTGAGATGGCCCCTGTCCGCACGGTCGGCATCAACGGGATCAAGATTCGGGAAGGTTATCTGTATTTCGACAACAGCGAGACCACATCGTTTTACAAGATCAAGATCACCTCTACCGGCTTCGCCGCGGAAGGCGCAAGTGCGGAGCTGGTGGCCAAGGTGGATGGCGAGCCGTTCCTGGATGACTTTAGCATCGGTGCCGATGGCGCGATCTGGGCAGCCTCAAACCGTGGCTACACGGTGCGCCGCATCAATGTCAGCAGCGGCAGTAGCGTCGTCGTGGCAGGCTCGGCGACCAGCACGACACTCCTGGGAGACACGGCGACGGCCTTCGGGAGGGCCGAGTCGGATCAGGCCATCCTTTATGTCACCACAAGTGGCTTCAACGCCACGAACGTCCCCTTGGAGGCGGGCAAGATTGTCGCTATAGATACGTCTCATTTTGTATAGTAACATAGGATAGTCTGAAAATATATATGGTCACATATAGTGTACAAGTGTCGTTCTTAGGAGTTACTCCTTGGCTGCATGACGAAATAGCCATCGTTTTCAAGCCCAAAATCTTGAGACGGTATGTGGCCAAAAATAGGCGCCTTCTATCTTCCAGGTGTTAGCATCGTGAACTTGAATCTCAGATAGCGAGTATGGGAGGGTCTTGGGACAGTGACATATCAGATATCGGTGTCTAGGGCAAAGTAAAGCTCTGCTATGCTCCAAGAAGTCACAATATCCGGTCTCAGCCAGCGGTCCAATTGCGACAGGACCGTAGTAGATAACTAAAGTGTGTACTTGATATTATGTTTCAATAGTATTGATTGTCTGGGGCGGGTTGGAGTACTCCGCCTTCTTCTCCGTGCTACCCTTTGCTAGCGAGAGGCATGTTCTCGTAAGCGACTGCAGGTTCAGAGACAGTAACAGTGCCCCTTCCATAACTCACCATTCCATCCATCAACGGCCTCTCATCATACCCGAGTGGCAATGATAGCCCAGAGCCTTTTCTCTCTTTCGTCTTGCCCCTTTGCAGGTCTTTGGTGTAGGTAGGAAATCTAGCATTATTCGCCCTGAGATGGGCTTCTATACAAGGACTCTTGCGATATGTTCCGTAAATGCAACCATGCATATTCGCTTCAACAAGGACTAAAACACATCCCATCCGCCTCAGCGTTTGGCGCGCTCCGCAGCAGCAGCACTCATGCTGCCCACGGTCTTCTCGACTGCATTCGTCATGGCAAGGCCAACAGGAGTCATTGTCCCGCTGGCGCCTGGGGCAGGAGTTGTGCTTCTGGTTGGTGGCGCAGACCGGTTGTGTGCCATGTGGGCACGAACCAGGTGGCCAGCTGCAAGTGCAGAGCAGAGAGACAGCTCACCGGCAAGAACAGCGGCGCCCACAATGCGCGCCAATCTACGTGAGTTCTCACCAGGCGTTGTGGGATGAGAACCACGAACACCAAGCAGATCAAGCATAGCACTCTGCGGCTCGAGAATAGTACCACCGCCAAGAGTACCAACCTCAATAGACGGCATGGAGACCGAGATCTGCAGAGAGCCACGGAGACTGAATCTTGTTAGTCAAAACCTTAGCACTGATGGGAATCAAGACTTACTTCTTCATGATGGTGATGCAGTTGGCACTTTCCACTACCTGTGCCGGGTCTTGTCCAGTGGCAATGAAGATAGCTGCAACCATGTTGGCGGCGTGGGCGTTGAAACCACCAACAGATGCAGCCATAGCCGAACCAATCAAGTTCTTTGAGATGTTCATTTCCACCAGAGTGTCGACGTCGGTCTTCAGAACGGACTTGACCACGTCGGCCGGGATGATGGCCTCTGCCACTATGCCCTTTCCACGTCCGTCGATCCAGTTGATAGCAGCGGGCTTCTTGTCAATGCAGTAGTTTCCAGAGACGGTGACAATCTGCATGTCCTCGAAACCGCCTTCTGTGGCCATGACGTTGAGAGCATGTTCGACACCCTTGGAGATCATGTTCATGCCCATGGCATCACCAGTCGTTGTCTTGAACCTGATGTAGAGGTTTGTTCCAGCAAGAGCGGTCTTCATAGTCTGCAGTCGTGCGAATCTACTTGTAGAGTTGAAGGCGTTCTTCATTACGGTTTGTCCAGCCTCAGAGTCGATCCAGTGCTTGGCGGCACCAGCACGCTCAAGGGTTTCGAAGCTCACGCAAGGTCCACGAGTCATCCCATCACCAGTGAGAACCGTGACGGCACCGCCACCGGCGTTAATGGCCTTGCAACCTCGGCTGGCACTGGCAACGAGTACACCTTCAGTCGTAGCCATGGGGATGAAATAGCTCTGGCCATCAATGACAAGAGGGCCGGCGACGCCAACAGGGATAGGCATGTAACCAATAACGTTCTCACAGCAAGCTCCCAAGACGAGATCCCAGTTATAGTTCTGGTAGGGCAGCTTCGATCGCTCCAAAACATTGGTAAGATCCGCGGTAGCCTTGGTCCTGGCAATAATCGACCGACGAACCTTGACAGCTCGAGTGCAATCCTTGAGACTTCTCTCAAGAGCGTAACCAGGAACCTTGCCCTTTAGAGACAGCGCAACAACTTCCTCGTCAGTCAGATCAAAGATACGCTTCTCCGCCAGGAGCTTCTCAAGATCAGCTTGGCTTCGGGAAACAGTGGGAGTCCTGGGGCTTGGGGTATCTAGCGTTGAGACCTTCGGTTTCATCAAGAGTTGGTCGGCTTCGTCGTCTGTCGAGGCAGGGGTGAGCGGTTTAGATGGAGGGGCCCTGTGAGCTTGGGCCTGTCCAATTGCGGGAAGAGTAGCATTCTGCGAGTCGTTGAACCTTTCGGCCTCAGCTAGCTCCTTGGGGTCGACGGGATGACCTGGGAGGTTGGGGTCCTTGATGCCCGATCTGGCAACATTGAAAAGATAGCCGTTCAAGGCGACACTCATCGCGAGTGCGACAACGATCCACTTAGACAAGATGGGATCCTCGAGGCTCGTCAGCAGGCTACCGACCATGCGGCCACCCACACCGTAGTCGCCAAGCTGAGCGTAGCTGTCACCATCATCACCATGTCCACTATCCACGGGAACGGCGTAGTGAATAGATGGGAATTCGAGCTCGTACTTGATCGGGGTCAAAACCGTGACAACAGTCGTACGGCCGTGGCCTCGGGCCATGTAGAGAACCTCGTCAAGTCCGTTTGACGCAACCTTGAAAGGATCAACCGGGGGCGCGGTGCCAACCCCCCCAAGGCCACCTGCCCAAGATGAGATGGTCGAGAATGTTCCGGGTGTCCTGAACGGGATGGAGCAGAGGTTGGCAATGTTGATTGCGAAGAATCCAACTACCATCCAGAACTTAAACTTGGGTACGCTGCTGCTCTTGAAATCCTGACCAAACAGGAGAGCCTTGCCGTCCTTGCTATCATTGCTGCTGGCAACGTTCTCTGCGACACGGCGGCTGAGGCCGTCGTCTTCCAAGGCCCTTCTCATCTCGACATGTCGCTTGATACGGTTGATTTCAAGCTTGATGCAAAGTATAGCGGTGTAGAAGGTAAAAAGCAACAAGCAATCGAAGAAGAGAATCCAGGCTGCCAAGAAGCAGAATTGCTGTAGTCCACCCTGGACGCCAGAGGCGGCACCGACGGACAGCACCAAGATCTCCAAGACGTAATCACGAACGATCTCATAGCCCGTATCCTTGATAGCCTTGTGGACTGCATACTGGATCACATTGTCAGGTGGGCTCGGCGACCGCTTGGACCTACCACTGGAAGACGAGTTGTCCTCGGGCCGTCGGTGATCCAAGGCGTGGGAAAGGACTGCCTTGGTCAGGACAATGTTCTTCTCAAACCCGATGGTTACGACCAAGAATGGCAGGCCTTCAGAGAGAAGTACAACGGAAACAGGCACACCGAGCTTGGTGGTGACATTGAGGCCGAACAAGAAGGCGAAGGTCGAGGAAAAGAGCACACTAGTTGCCAGCCATACATTGGAGCCCATTTTTCTCATGCTCAGGAACAAGGAGACAAAGGTCAGGTGCATAGCCAGGTACCCAAGCACCATGATGATGATGTCGAGGCTCTCGGCGTTCTTGAGCAGATCCAGGAACTCGGACCATGCGTTCTGGAACCAACGCACCAGACTGTTTCTGGTTTGGACTCTGGCAGCCTTCATAATCCACATCTTCTTCTCCTTCTTGCCGGATGCGGTCTCCAAGGACTCCTGGCCGGGAACATCATTGGGGATCTCTTGGGCGGCAGTCAGGAACTGGGGGCCTTCGCTGTACTTGAGAGAGAAGGCCAAGGCGCTGTCCTGGGCGTAGGTCGTCAGGGAGTTGGAAGTTGACGGGAGGTGGGAGATGGAGAGGTTGCTGGGCAGCGGGACGATGTGCGGTGATGGCGCGGTCTGGGGCGCCTCGGGAGAGGACTCGGGAAAGACCAGGGTCACCAAAGCCAGGTGGTCGGCGTCCTTGGGAATGTGGGCGTCAGACTCGAAGTTCTGCCATTTCCACGAGGTCTCAGGACCAGCAATGAGGTTTCGGCTGCCTTCTACCAGAGAATCCCAGTCGGCTCTTCGGACGCCACGGGTGGCATCGACCAGGCTGTCCTTGACTATGCCGACGTAGGTGGTGCTTGCCAGGATGGCCACGACGCAGATGGTGTAGATGGGGTGGACGCAGGCTATCTTGGAGACGAATTGGAGGATGGGGGTGAACTTCTTGTTCACCTTGGAGGGCGGAGACGGCTGGCCATTGGGCTGGGCGCCGCGGAAGCGGGAGGGAAGAAGCGTAGAGGCGATCATGTTGAAGCTATCGCGGATGCATTGGCCGGGGCTGCGAGGCTGTTGTTCGTCTCTAGAGATGCAAGTCGTGTCAGCAGAGGGGATGGGCAACAATAGACACGAGCGCAGAGCGGTCACAGACCAAGAGCAAAGGGCAGAGGGCAGAGAATAAAAGAGTAGAGGGCAGCAGGCAGCATCTCGGTCCCTGACGCGGCACTGGCATATCTGGGCGCTGCGCCTCCGAGGGGCGGCCGAGATGTCATCCACGCGGACGCTCACGTTGGGGGCTTGCTTACCAAAGAAAAGTGATCTTGGGGGGGCCAAGACGTGTGTGTCTCAAGCCTGCCGTGTTGAATTGGCGCAGCTGGTCGCAAGACACGCGGTCAAGCCGGACGTGATGTTGCAAGAGACCGGTGTATTAGGAGCAAGTGACGCCCGCCGGTCGAGGGGCAAGGCTTATCTGCCGGGCTGCGGTCCCCGGATGTCGTCGTCGTAGGCACGGATGGACCCACGGCAAGTCTGTGAGGTTCGCTGTCGCACCTGGTTCGGGGCTGGCCTCTCGGGAGTTCGTTATCGGCCGCTGGTCCGGAGATGCTGTCGCGACAGTTGCAATTGGGTGTTTTCCGACAAGGCACGACGGATCAGAAAGGAGACACGTGAGGCAGCCGGGTCAGGACATCGGTCAATTCAAAGGGGGCACGGCCAAGTGGGAATCGGTGAAGAGAGAAATTTCCCATGTCCATGAGTTATTGAGCGCTAATCCAGAAAATTACCGGGCCCACCAGAACCACGTTAGACGTGCAGCTCTAGCGCGTTAGGGGGGACACTGTAGTATGCGCGGCTCACCGCTTGCCGCTTCAGGTCCCCCAGAAGGCCCCCAGGTCGCCCCAGAGGACCCCCAAACCTGCTGTTTGGGCTGTATGGTCCCCTGGCGCGTGGGCTGACCTCGCAGGTCAGGTCCAACGGGTCTACGGGTCTACGGGTCTGTCGATGCAAAGCCCGCAGGCCAACCTGGCAAGCGGCCCAAACCAAGCCCACCTGTGCCGCACCCAGTCGGCCAGATCTCCAGTCTCGACAGTCTCCCCGAATGAGCACAGGCAATCAGCAGCCACCTGTCCTGCTGTTCGTGGGGTTCCAAGGTTGCGATCTGCCCAGCCAGCACGCCCGGCCCGCGCGTGCTGTATTCCGGGCTGCCGTGCCACCACCCAGCAGGCCCAGCGCACCCCCAGTGCCCATCACCCCTGGCGTTCTGCACCTATCAGCAGCTGCTGTCGGTTCCAGACGAACTCTCTAGCGCCTGTTTCATTTTGCCTTGACGGCTTGGCGTCCCTCTCACAAGGTTGCGGAAACCTCCTCAAGGGCGATGACGGAGCCGACCTGAGGGGTGCAAGGGTGCAAGGGTGCAAGAGGTGCAGCTGCAGCAGCTGCCCCGTGGTTGGTGGTGTATACATGAAAGTACACAGATACATTGTAACCAAAGAGTTGTCAACTTGGTACGCGGCAATTGCCGTCGACAACTTTCGGCGTCCGTCTCATCAAGAGTATATGCCCGGCTCGCAAAAGTAGACAGGGGCAATAATTGTCGAGGAGGGACACAAGCGTCTTCCACTACCACCGAAAAGTCTACTACCGTCAGACTGCCTTGACTGCAAAAATTCCTTGGAGGAAAAGGGGGGGCTAAGCTTAGTCCCAGCCGCCGCCCTGCTTCTAGCGCCTCACCAGAATCACGCCAGTTAGGTTACTGCCAGTGTTATTCCGCGACGATCGTCACATCTGACCCCAAAATGCCTCTAACGTAGATGTTTGGTTTTCCTACCATGCCATATAGTACCTTGACATAGCCGTTCTGTGATGCAGCCAAGTCTTGGGTGGCAGTATAGTCTAGTTCAGTGTAACAAGACCAGAGCCTACATACAATCTACGTCAAGTCCCTAGAGCCTTATCACAGCCCGGCTCCCTTACAAGCCACTGATCGCATGACCCAGCATTTGTCTCATCTGACCCCTCCAACAGTGTCTTGCAAAGCGGGCGTTAGAATGCCGTCATCAGTCTCTGAACTGCAGCACTTTCCATGCTCACGACCTTGACACCTTTGCCCTCAAGCCCCTGGCGAACCTTCGGCCAGCCCTCCGGGTCCACTGCCCGCGTGCCTTCGTCAACGATGAATGTCTCGAAGCCCTCCTTTGCAGCGTCCACGGCGCAGTTCAACACGCAGTAGTCGGCAGCCAGTCCCACAACGTAGACATCAGTCACGCCCGCGTCTTTCAGCGTGCCCGCCAGTCCGCTGTCACACCCCCTCGGCTCCTGAAACGGGTCGTAGAACGGGCTGTACATTTCCACCCGGTCGTCTTGTCCCTTCTCAATGATCTTATCAACCTTGCCCGCCTCCAATTCAGGGACTAGTTCCGCTCCTGGAGTGCCTTGCACACAGTGGACAGGCCAGAGACGAGTCTCATAGGTCTCATTGGAATTGGCCGGGTTGGTTATCGTAATGTAATCCGTAAAGGGCTGCTTGCCATCATGGTTTGCTGCAAACGAGACGTGCGACGGCGGGTGCCAGTCCTTCGTTGCAATCTTGAGTACAAATGGGAGCGAGAGCAGCGCATTCACAGAATCTGCGATGTCTCTGCCACCTTGCACCGCCAGGGAACCGTTCTCGTGATTGTCAGCTATCATCTACACTCGTGAAGCTCAGCCGGGGATCTCACTGGCGGACAAAAGTCCTCTTGGAAGTCGACCACGATCAGTGCTGGTTTGAAGGCCGCCATCGTCGGGTTGATGGCTTTTCCTGTCCGCTACAGCGATGCCATATATGGCCGCAAAGACTCCAGTCAAGATTTCGATATTGAGCTTGGGGCAGGTCGAACTTGCGTATGTCACATACCTCGTGGTTTGAGTTCCGTGCGGATAGGCTTCTTCTGGAAGCTAAGGGCGACATGGTGGGGCACGGCCCCGCGGGGCAAGTCTTCCTGTTGCTATAGCTCCATGTCACTCTAGGTATGCCCTCGTTTGCAACTGACGGATTACTGAATAATGGTAGCTGACACCATTTCTTGAATCTGTTCAATCATGTATATGCCCGGGTTCGGCACACCTTTCAGTCAATTTCTCTAGTCCTGCAAATCAGGCGCAGTAGTTGATGGCTGTTGCTGCCAGTCAATATCACAACTTCGTTCGACAGAGCAAGACTCCAGAAGAAAATGTACACTCGTAATTAAATGGTGTACACTGACTCCGAACGTTTGAATTGACTATGCGTAGCCGTGCTCATGATTTCGATGTAGCCGTGAGACTATCTCGAGATAGTCGGGTTCGTTCTCATAATTGAGAATCCCTCTTCTGATGAAAAAGTCAAGCATGATAAGAGCTTTCCCTGGAGTGCATCGGCCCATTCTCATGGCCTCGTTCATTTCCTTCATGTCCAGCAATACGAATTCCTCTACTTCTCCATCTTTTGGGACGGGTTGCAACTCCGTAGGGAGCTCAAGCTCATATATCAACCGAGTATCGGGGTTAAGACGTACTCCTTGACCTGGAACCCGTTCCTGGGTGATGTCGAGATAACTTACTGCGCCGACTGCAATAGCGGCTTCTTGAACCATATCAGGCGGGATGGTGGCCTCCTCATCGGCTTCACGAACCAGCGCCTGCAGAGGGCTTTCATCGCTGCGGATTCGCCCGCCAACGGTGCTGTCCAGTAGCCCTGCGTAGGTCTGTTTATGTCTTGCTCGCTTCTGTAGCCACACTTTGAGGCCATCTATTGTGTTCGTATACGCCAGAAGCTGCACTCCGTAAGTGGTGATGCCGAACAAAGGCGCCGCAGCGCGCTCCAAGCTCAGCAGCACCGAGCGCCCAGGGCCATAAACAGCATTTTCTTCGCCAGTCCAAGCCGAAAGTTCAGGCAAAATGCCACTATTCCTCATGGAGCGGAGAAAGACGTCCATGCGGGCATCTCGTTCATCGCGAGATGTCCCGAGCAGGGTAACGGTTCGTCTATCAGGATCGATCCGCCAATGCGCCGATCCAACTGGAATCTGACTCTTCACATACGAATCCAAGCGACCGACGGGCTGAGTGCAGCGCTCAAGCATAAACCACCACAGCCGTGCAGGCTCCCGCGGCGATCTTGGTCCGTCAGCTGAAGTAAATATTTTGGCCTATAACTCCGCCAGCGTTACATGCGGAGCAGACTCACTTGTCGCAATCGTTGACAAGCTCAAGATTGGACTTGCCTACTGAAGCGGCAGTCATTTTCAAGTGATAAAATCAGCGCAGCAACTTCAAGCTTCGCACTATGTGTGATCGTTAGGGAAATGCATCATGCCACATACGAGCGTTGCCAGGTGTTTGGAAGATAGCAAATGGATGCCTTGGATGACCCACCGGCGACTCGCAAGTCGGATACGTGATCCTAACCATGGACAAGCTGCCTTTCTTGCAGCCGAGCAATGGGCCTTTTGAATTGTATTTTCATTCACCTAAACATTCCATATTGTGATCACTGTTTTGTCTCCGTCCAAATTGAAACTGAGTTCACGTTTTTCCAATATCACTAGTCTATGGGATCCGGATGGTAGATTATACCATCTGATCCGGGACGATGGGGTTCACCACAGATGTCGTCTTCAAACTCCAGTCGATCTGGAAATTCTCGTAACCGCATAAGATCAAGAGGTTCCACGCGTGGCCGATGAATGTGATTTGGACCCCCGTAACTGAAGTTCGGATCATTCACCTCCTCAAAGCAACGGAACACGGCTTCGCGGCCCTGTCTGATGGTTGCTCTGTGTGCTTTTGAGCTTTGCCCAGGCCCAGGACGCCTTGGACGTTCGAATGAGTTCCATTCCTTGCTGCATCTGTTGGCACCCGATCCCAGGTTCCTCCACGTCGTCAAAACCAGCGCACGAGCAGCCATGCCTGGTAATTCCACGGCGTTGACTGAGAAATCCGTAAAACAAGCCGAACAGCTCCCAGGGCAGCCAACCTCAGCCTTGTCGATTTGTTTCTTTTGGCATGATTGAGTGCACTTTCGTCCGTGGCAGAGGAGACAGCGCATCTCAACACCAACACTCGGGTACGATAGTGGTGCAAGAGACTGATCTCCGAAATCTCTCTTTTTAGCACACTCGTTCGACTGAGGAATCAGATTCCTTCGTATATCTTGCTTCCAAGTTCGATGTGGACATATATGATCCTCGAGACTATTGACAACTTCGAGGAGGCTGTCAATGACCTTTTCAACCTCCCAGGAGCCAGAAGCAGGTACTATGACGGTCTGGGCTTTGGTGATCAGGCGGCCTTTCACTATACGAGCACTCTCGCATCGTTGTATATAGAACCTATGGCCCATGCAGTCTCTTTCACATGTCCGCGTCTGCCGAAGCTGCTTCAGAGCGTTTGCACAGTTTTCGCCTCGATGGTTCTTCCCCATGATGAGTGAAACAACATTGAAATGTAAGCGTTTATGAAAGCTCGTCTCGGGGAACGGCGTAATTCTGGCGCAAGGAAGCGAGCTGGCTCCTTGTCTCGAACGGAAACTAGCATCCTGGAGAGAAAGCATTGGCGCATGCAATTTTTGACGCCATTGACAGGCTATCAGGCTCGACGAAGCGAGATCTTTCTCCAATCGTTGGAGAAACCGCATTCTTGACTTTTTGCTGAATGATTGGGCAGCGTTTAGGCCCAAGCGCCGCAGCATCGTACGGGAAGTTAAGGCGAAGGATATGTTGTCAGTGTCTGGCATATGTCTGCATATAATAGCGGTAAGCTCGGTAGGTAGCTTCTCGATCCAAGCCGTGGGTGATATTGGCCTTCTTAGTAGTCTGTTCCTATACCTCCCTTTTATTCGCGGCTCGTACTGGAGCCCGCAGGTATGTGCAGATTCCACGTGCTTCGGTTGCTTTTCCGGCAATACGGCCGGATCGCTGGAAGAATAGTACGCATCCTCCAATTTCTCTGCCTTCTTGCGTCTTCTCAGTGCGGATCTTGACTCCCGCCTCGGCCGTTCTATCTTTTTAGGGTCCGTCTCAATGTAAGATCCCAGTCGAGTCCAGCTAACATGCTCTGTGAGCTTGTCCTTTCCCTCTTGCTTCGCAGAGGTAAACCTGACGTGCTTGGCCTCGATTCTGCAGCGTCCTTTTGCTGTCCAAGATGCCTTCTTAGCGCTCTTCAAGCACTGTCTTGGTCGCATCTTAGCTGCATTGTCTTGATGGTGAATGCAAGTGGGATATAATTATACGGGGGGAGTCTTGGGTCGTGCTTGGAATTTTGAGGCTCAAATAACATATATCGGCGCATTATAGACCTATTAACTTGGAATATTACTCGGAGACCCCTAAGAATATTCGTGCTAAGTTATTCGGTGGTCCTGTATTGTGTAATTTACATAATGTACATTTTCTTTTCTGAACAATGTGCTTTACAGCCTAGAAAACCACGTGCCGAGTAAGGCGATGCTTCTCTAACGTGCGTCAATAGTGGCGCTTAGCTAAAAACAATCGCACGTCATAAGAATCGGCGATTGGCTTGGGAAGTGTGCTCATATGTCTTCTCCATAAGTATCGCGCCTGCCCAAGGGCCCCTGGCCATGCGCCAGATTGCGACGGCACTGTCCTGGCTGGTCACTGGAAACATTAGCCACTAGGATATTTGCTACACTCGATATTGTGGAACCAAAGCAAGATTTTAAACCTTACGGTATTGCTTGCGTGGAATACGATTTCCAAGAGCCTTTGCGTTCGTCAAGGAAGGTTCAGCTGTTGCCTGGATTGTCGACTCTCCCCATGAGTCACATTAACTGCTCATTTGCCATCTCCACAGGCACCAACACTTCACGGTTTCTTATACAGAAACCCCAAGTATAAAAGCAGGCTCTCTTCCATCTGTTTCTTAGATTTCTTTTCCCTTTTCTTACTATCCTAGTGCAAGGGTGTGACACATGCCAGTGAGGATTCGTCTGAGGCTGTGGTTGCTAGTTGAAAATTACCTAATGACCAACTCTCAGTCTTTGTATTGGACTAAGGAATTTTTTGAAATCCGCACTTCTCTATCGAAGACTTCTTTACTCTTTCATTGTGCCATGTCCTTCTTTGGGTGGGTACGAAGAAGGGCTCATCACAGCGCAGCGGCGGCGACACATCTGAAGTATTTGTCGCGTGTCGTGGATTCCCTGTCATATTTCATGTTGATTGTAGCTCTGTTGAGCTCCCCCTTGTTTTAATCTTGGCTTTCCGCATGTCCCGTAACTTGCGCTTCTCGGAAGGTCTTCTCAGAGCGACTGCCAGCTTCATTACAAATCGCTGACACTCCACGGCTTGATATCGAGACCGGCTCCTAGGAGTGCTCCGCTCCATTTCAGAATTCTGGGAAACCACAAAAACGCTTGCTTGCCCTACACATCATCTCTTGTATAGCATGATAACGGGGCGTCTCTGGTATCTCTGCTTAACCCAAAACCACCATACTCCTGTTAAAATTATTAAGCCTCTGGATATCCAAGACGAATAATTCATCCCTCCGATATCCACTGGCAAAGAGTACGGAAAACAATAGTAGACAAGCGAAACCAACATGCAAAGGCACAACACTGCGTTGAAAATCAAACCAGTAACACCTTTTACGAAGAATAGTACTGGCGCCACAATTTCGCCTATGTATCAGAAAACGGAAGGGATGCTGCAGCCAAGTAAGAAAGCGTTGTCAACACGACATAGGAGCCGACAAAGGCTTCGAATACTGTAGCTCTCAACAAACATGCATCCCATTACAGTACAGGGGCAAGCCACGAACAGAACTGTATTGAATGGATTCTTCCATCTTAGGTGAACCTGTTAGAAGATCTTTGCGAATGGCGTGGCATTATCTCGCGTCAGGATCCTTTGCGACAATCAGAGATCAACACTGCTTGTTGAAGACACAAAACTTTTGAAGCAGCATCGTTGAAAGAATCATCATGCTTCCGGTAATCGCCCAGTAGTGTGTGGTGGTGATGGCAAAGGCGCACGTATTCAGAAGGTTCTACCACATACGCGCCGCAAACTAGCTGCTGTATGATGCAATGCCCGTCCTAGCCTAAAAACTTCCTGTCAAGCTCTCGTGCATGTCCCGAACCATTTGTGACTTGACCTGTGTCCAACTAGATTTCCCCTGAAATGAGGCCGCTGTTTCGGGCTGGTTTGAGCTCGGCGCCGGTCATTATAGCAATCGAGCAACATAAAAAATCAGTTGAGTATGACTACGCGTATATTCTCTGTGTTTCGCGGACTATTATTAGCAAGAGTATGAATCGACGTGGCGTCCCCTTCCCAAGTACAAGATGTCTCACGCGAAATATGCAGAGTCCGTATGCATAGATGGTGCGATGGCGTATGTATGGCGATCGGTTATCAAAACTCCAGTGGAATAAGTTTCCCATTTTGAGTATTGGTAGTGCCGATGGTATTAAGAAGTAAGTCTTAGTGCTCAAAAGGTGGCATTGCGGAGATGTGCGCTTTCGGACAAACTTGGCATCTTGGTTTACATTGGTGTTCGGGCAATGTGGTGTTTGGACAAAGCTTCGGGAGACAAGAGGCTTCCAATCCGTGCTGTCAAGCCTCCATGAGGTAGATTAATCCGTACTGTCGAACCTCCATGAGGTAGATGCCACTGTGTGGCTCACAACATATCTGACACCAGTCTTGCCATAGGACAGCCTGGGTATTGACGACAGCAACGCGAAAGCGTGGTCTTTCTGGCCGGAGAAGCGTCTTTCCTGATTAAACGGTAGCACTAGGCATATTTCCGGTCAAAGATAAGGGTTGATTATTTTAGTCTTCTTTTTTCTGATTGCCTCTTGTATTGATCAATGACTCTACGTCTTGCTTATTATATCGACTTCCTGTCGCACTTCCCAGTCTTGTCTGATCGTGATGGCTCTTTGCTGGTCGGAGGATGGGGATGGTTGTCGCTCGTGGCTATCTGGTCTTCCGTCCTCGCGGTCCACCGAGATCTGCACGTTATGCTTGGTTCCGAGCGGCCGTAACTGGTATTGCGATGAGTCATCGCTCAAGGGCTCGAATGCGCCGATATTGGTTGACCTCTTCGTTGCACTTCTTGGTTTCAACGAAAACATGGGACTTGCTGTGCCATTTGCTGAGTATTTTCCACGCTTGAGGAGGGGCCGCAGCATCGGGATATTGGAGAGGACTATCGCAAGTGCAGGTTCGATGGCGGTGAAAATCAGGGCCTCGGTGCAGGTGTAGGTAAGATCATCGAAGTCGACAGTAATGAGTGTGGCGAGTCGGAAGATGCTCACGATCACGGTGCTGCGCATGGATATGTGTCAGTGATTTGCCAACGGAGCCCCAGGGGTTTGCTGGCTTACACAACACCGAGCCCAAAGGTGGCCATGAGCACAATTTTCTTGTAAAGTGGCAGCTGTAGACCGAATATCGACGGTAAAGCTACAATCAGTGCTGCGACATCGGTAATGACATTGCCCGCGCCGGTCGTCTTGATAATACCAACGAGGTCGCCGCAGTGACCACCTTCTATGGTCTTGTCCCAATTATACGCAAATGGCTGGCATATTAAGCAGCCTCCAAGAACGGCGACCAAGAGGAATAGGAAAATCAAGACGATGGACACATCGACAGCAATCGTAACGGATCGAACTGGGAAGAGTTTGCGGTACAGAAGTAACACGGAGAGCTTGCAGCAACTCAGGCTAAGAGCCCACAAGCCCTGAATCGGGAAAAGCAACTGGGGGGTGTTATCTAACAGTTCAACAAGTTGAAGAAAATTACTCACGATGGAGAAGCCTTCCGTTGCCCTGCTTCCATACCATGCCTTGATCTCACTGGAATGGTATCCAACACCGAAATGGAGGACCCCTACACGTATTGCCATATTAGACCAGAAATTCAAGCCGCCTAGACCTTCGGAGTAATAGGGTCTTACCGAAGAAGCATACTATCTGAAAACCAGAGGCGAGCAACTGGGATATAGTCAGAGGAGTGTCGCCGGCAGTTCTTTGTATGAATACCTACCCAGGCCGCCACCATCAAATAATCACTGATATCAAGAGTCCGATGGGCGATTCGGCGGGCCAGCAGCCGTAGAAAAATGGAAACTGTTGGCAGCACCAGGCATACGGCTGAGACGGCCACAACCGCGACCTGCATGGGCCGTTCGACTGAAAAGTGCATCATCGTGGCTGCGCTGACGGTGCCTTGAAGATTCGAGGCATGTCGTTCGGAAGGGTCAAGGACGGCAAGACAAACCGGGTGCAGACTTGTCGGCACGGGATGCCCATATTATACCTTGCTACCTCGTGGGAATCCTGCTGTGATGCCTGCCGCCCTCCCCCTGCCATATTAGAGTTTCTTGTCACGACATCTTAAGCCTAGTCCCGAGGGACGTCTCGTCTACCGCGCCCAAACTGGCAGGGTCGGAACTGCTAGTTGGAAAGTGCCCAGGGTGTTGAGTCCAGGTGAGGCTCCATTCTGCAGAGAAGCGCCTCGTGCGATTGGAACACTACGCAGGTGGCCTAAGAGCCGGGGCATCCCCGGAAACCCCTACTCTTGCGCAAGTCCACTAGTGTGCTAGATCTGGAAAAGATGCCATGCAAATTCTGCACCAAGGCCAAGGAATAGCGCCAACAGCTGCCAAAGAGGTATCTAAGTTAATTTTCCAGATTGCTCGACGACCTGTACGAGGCACTACCGTAGTAGTTCCCGCTGTCTGTTCGCTGGACGGGCGCGCTGAGACGACGGCGCCAACCGTCCCTGCGGCGCCTCTCCGGGGCGAGCCTAGCAGGCCTGTACCCCTGATCACTTATCTCATCAGTGACGCGGGGGCGACGGCTCTCGCTGTCACCCTGAGCCCCAGGCGCCCAGGATTATGATTCGGGGCCGACTGTCATCGGCCGGCATCTACGTATGCACTGTGGTATGGGCTGTGGATGCGGCTTACAATCTCCATAGATTTGAAACAGAGATTGGCCTCTTGAATAAGTGCGGGATGAGAGCGCGAGTACTAACACTCTGGACTCTTATTTGTCCCTTGGTTGGGAGGACCGCGTGAAGGGTGCTTGGGTGCGCTCACGACCTACGATAGTACGCGATAACAATTTACCATCAGCAATCTTGATCTTGCCGTCCGATTGCGATGCGAATTTAGAGTTTCGCATTGCACAGAAGGCGCACGAAAAAGTGCCAGGCCCCCCGGCGCCGTAATCAGAAGAGGGCATATATCTCCGTGAATCTTGTTGCCAAGGCTGTCCATCTGCACATCGTTACTGCTTGGGAAGCGAGGTATCCACCAGACATCTATCGTGAGATCTGGTGGTTACGCGCACGTGGGTGGCTGAGAATATGTGCGATAGCTTCCTGTCGCTTCGGCAGTGGCCCCTGCCGGACTCGGCTGCCGTGATTACATCTCGGTGGCTTGACGACTTGAGAACCAGTCGCTGTCCGCGGAAGATGTTTCCATTTGACCTGGACCTGTGCCTCCGTGCCTGGAAATCCAATGTCGTATCCTGGTCAGCATACCGGGCAGCCTCGCGATCATGGCATTGCTTACTTCATGGCTTTCTATTGTAGCCCAGGCGTTGATTGTACTTATTAGCATTGCTATATATCGTCGGTACCTGTCTCCTCTATCTGATATTCCTGGACCTTTCTGGGGTTTGATCACTCGTCTCTGGCAGGTCGTTCATATTTTCAAGGGCGACCAGAACCTGCTTTCTATTGCGCTGCACGACAGATATGGCAATTTTGTTCGCATCGCACCCAATGAAGTCAGCGTGAGCCATCCAGATGGGCCAAAGCTGTTACTCCTGACACCCCAGCGAAAGGTAAAATCACAGGCGTGCGGGATCATGAGAGCTTCATCACTGACCCAATGATTTAGGCTGACTGGTATGTATATTCCGAATATTTCCTCCGCTTTTGGGCGAGTTGGATGAACAAGAGTTCTCCCGTAAGAGCCAGCTCCTATAGGCGGCGAGCCCATTACTCGTAAATAATTCTGATCTGCAAACCACTGACCCGAAACATGGAAAGGTACCGGGTTTTTACAGTGCCAGACTATCGCTACGAGACCCCTCTGAGTACTATTGATCCTAAAGAAAAGGTCGAAAGGTCGAAAGGTCGAAATGGCTCGCTCCTGGATTTTCGTTATCTCACATCCTCAAGTCAGAGGAGTACGATGAATAAGAACATCGGCTTCCTACTTGAATGGATGGATAAGTTCGCCCAATCTGGCGAGCCGATGCACCTTGACAAGTTTCTGACTTACACGGCCTTTGGTAATGCCGGCGAAGTCATCTTCAGTCAGCCTTTCCGCTTCATCAAGGAGGGCAAAGACATACGAGGCTCCATCGCAAATAACTTGGCTCTCAATCCCTGCGTGGCAGCAGCCGGCTTTTTCATATGGGTGTATATATTGCTAGTGGCTAACCCAATCATCACTTGGACTGGGCTGTTGCCAATGGGCCATCTATTTGAGACTGCTGAGACCGCGATGAAGAAGCGTAAGGCAAACCCCGATGCCCGTTTTGATATAGCCGCACACTGGTTCAAAACGCAGAAGGAAAATCCAGGACGCTTGAGTGACCGTGACATCGAAGCCGAAGCCACAGTTGCTGTTGGTGCAGGCTCGGACACTGTGTCGTGTAAGACGAACTGAACAACGTTTCGTGGGAAGACGAGAGAGCTTACTTGTCCTAGGCGGTCTTCAGACTTTTGTATATCACATGATACAGAACCCGCAGTCGTGGCAGCGAGCCCGCGACGAAATCGCTGCTGCGCAAGCCGAAGGCTATTGCAAAGACCGCGTGATTTCCGTCAACGATGCGCAGAGGCTCCCATATCTGCAAGCCTGCATCAAAGAAGCGCTTCGGATGTTCGGGCCTACGCCAATGGGGCTGCCCAGGGTAACTCCGAAGGGGGGTCTTACCATCGGCGACCGGTACTTCGTCGAGGGGACTACGTTGTCCATACATCTGAAGTGAGTTCGTATCCACCGCCAGAGGCAGTGCCAGACTCACCAAACATAGCGTTATGCAACGATCGAAGGAATGCTGGGGCCCAGACGCCCGACAATGGAACCCGGAACGTTGGTTCGCCGACGATGCGGCTTCAAAAGAGAAATATTGGCTTGTGGTAGGTTCTCCAGGCGTTCAGTAATCATGGAGCATCTTTTCTGGCTGTCATCAGTTCGGTATGGGCTACAACTCGTGCCCTGGTCAACATGTGGCCCGGGTGCAGTTGTCTAAGACCGCGGCGACCTTGGTGAGAGACTACGACATCAAGCAGGTTGACCCAACGAACGAGTGGACGTGGAAGGCTTATTTCACGGTTGTGCCTCACTCATGGCCAGTGTACGTCTCGAAAAGGGGGGTCGAATTGACATGACTTCGTGGATAAGTTGCTACGCAAACAGCACGGACCGCATTTACATGGTCGTGGTCTTATTACTCGGTGTATGACCTTGGTATGTTGGAGATATATAAATCCAATTACCCCATGTTCTTTTCGCTAAAACTCGATTTACCAACACATGACCCTTGGTTAGGGGTAGTGCTTATTAATCTCGTCATTGAAAACATTGTTGATGTCGGGGTTGGCCTTGGATGGCGCTCCTTTCTTCTCCGCGCGTTGGCCAGGAGCTTGATGACTAGTGTTAGAGACTGTGTCCTGGTAGAACGCTTTCGTCTTACCGTATTCAACCCTCGCGTCCTTTCCACTCCCTTGGGTGACCTGTGCATTCTGGGTCCCTGAGCTATGGCCGGTCAAGGCATCCTTGGCTCTCCTGATCTTATCCATGCTGCGTATCTGAGTTATTGGCTGGGTTGATCTATGATAGGGGTGGTAATTGCTACGCGTCCAGATTCGCGTCAGTTAAGGAAGGACACAACTATATACACAAGAAATCTCTGGTCGAGAGACCACGTGCTGTGGTGGTTTACCAAGTGACGATGTGGGGACAATGGACGTGTCCTAAGCTAAGAGAACTGGTCATAATTCTATTTCCAAATCGTCAAATCAACATACTTTGCCAGAATTTTAGATGAACCGTAATGCACTTGGGATTCCCATCCGTCCCCCTGGCCCCGTCCAAGCTTCATGTAGCATTTCGGAAGGACGAAAGCGACAAGGCCGAAATGAACAACATGCTGCTAAGTCCTCATGTTAAGTCACCCGGTTAAAATTCGCTAGGTGCTGTGTATGTCGAGAGGAAATGATAATACAGAACGGTGCTCTTCAGCAAGGTGCCAAAGTCAATTCCTAGATTCCAGCACCAAGTTAGGCTGGGAACGATTTAAGCTTGCGGGTTTCTACCCTCGACAGGGGTATAGCTTCAGTCTAGATGGGAGAGTTCCCACTCTAGTATGTCATTGTCATATCATGGGCTAAAGTTATTTCTGACCTGGAGTTTGCACAACTCGCTGCAACATGTGTGGCGTCTCGAGCCTACCTCGCCCAAAGCTTTCTGATCTTGGCGGGTATGTCCACCTTTTCGAGGACTGACAGCCGCCAGACTGGCTTGACTGTGTGAGATGCAAATGCCAACTTCCTACGAACGACTTAACAGATCCACGCTGAGTCAGGTCATCATTCAGCTATTACTTCTAACGCATTTTCTGTTGGACTTGATGTACGATAAATTTCTGGTTGTGCGGTCTTGGGTCTGGCTGATGATTCCAATACCCTTGTCAACCCCGCAACTTGCATCCTCGGCACTATGCCCTTGAAACTCCCAGTGACTACCTATATGTACTAAATCTTGTCTGCAGCTATCAGCAGCTCATACTATATTGCGACCAGTCATGGCCTTTTCATAATGGTAGTCTGCAATCTTCATATCGTCTCGCTCAAGCAGAGCATCTCCGTTCCCGCGTTCCTCGCCGGGCTCCGTAAGCATGACGTCAAACCAATCGTGCAAGCCCAGGTGTTGCGGTGGATGATCCTCCCCACTCAGCTCTCGGCTGGATATCTCCTGAGCAGGAATATACAGTGGCATCTCCTGCTCGGTCTGAATGCTTCAGACTCTATACCGTCATCCCTACAGCAACACGTCGAGGCCGCCTGGACGGCATCGTGCGGGGTATCAGCCCGGGTGCTGAGTGACTACGCAAAGCACAACGCAGCACTGCTCAATCCTAGCCCGGGCTCGGTGAAGCCTGCGCAGTTGCCTGCGGTGTCCGACACGTCGAATTCGCAGAATCTGGAGTTCTCCCCCGAACTCGAGAACTGGATCGCCAAACTCGCGCCTCCGCTGCGGAACCACCCCGTTTCCATGCTGAACCTCCTGGCTTTCAACGAAGGCAAGAAGGATCAGTACATCAAGTATGGCACGGAGTTTTCGTCACGGGTGGGAGCACGTCATGGCGGCAACGTGAAGATTGCAGCCCGCGTCGTGGGCGGAGAGGACCAACAGGCTCAGCATGATGGATGGGATGAAGTAGCTTTTGTGCATTACCCGACCGTGAAGCATTTTGCGGCCATGTCTGCAAGCCCAGAGTACCAGGAAGTCAACCGCAAGTACAGACTTGGCGCGTTGAAGGACACCTTTATACTCTGCGTCGCAGAGATAGATGACGACGGACAGCTTATGGGCGGTAGGGGAAACAAGGGGAAGCTGTAGACAACTCCTAAAACTCTCAGCAGTATTCCGCGATCCATTCAATAAAGAGATTCACACAAGTGTCTTCAATCACACAGTGGTTTGCTGTTATGCAGGCTGACAAGGCAAGACTGACGTGACCTTTACTTGGGAGAGTCTACCCTCGCCAGAATTAAGTTAACATAAGCTGGCCGGCATTAAATAGAGAGGAAGCAGATTCGCCTAGATATGGTATATACAACAAATAATACACAGGTTATCACCATTCAGCAATCTCACCGGCCTTGGGCTTCCTTGTTCGAATGACCTTATCGGGGTTCAGTAGGTAGAGAGGGTCGAGGGCCGTCTTGAGCTGTAGTTGGCGAATGTTAACAGCGGCTCCAAAATGATGTGAGTTTGGAATAACAACGGCGCAGCAAACAGCATTGAGTATGTAGCTCAGCGATGCAGCTGGCATCAGGTTTGGTGTAGACACAGAAGATTGCGACGTACCTTTCTCATTGTATCAACAGTGGCCTCACCGAGCTCATGTGGCAAGTAGTCTCTTTTGACTAGTCCAACACCATGTTCACCCTAGAAATACCACAGTTAGTGTCGGGTTCTTTGGCAGGGGGGGCGCACAAGAGACTCACCGTGACAGTTCCCTCCATCTCCACAGCTCGCTTGACCATCGTGTGCACAACCTCTTCCGCATCGGGTCTGTTCTGGTCATTCGACAGAAGAATGATGTGGAAGTTACCGTCGCCAACGTGCCCCACGATGGTGCCGTAAAGGCCACTCTTCTTAATGTCGTCCTTGGTCAACTCGATCAACTCGGGGAGTCGGCTCATAGGCACGGCGACGTCGCCAGTCCAGACCCTATCACCATCCTTGGCCATGGCCTGCGTGCTCCAGAGGGCCTCCTTGCGCGCGCTCCATAACTCAGCCTTCTCCTCCTCAGACTTGGCGAACTCGAAGCTCTTGGATCCTGTGGCTTTTGCCATGTCCTTGACGATCTGGATCTGCTCCTTGACGCCACGGTCTGTGCCGCTAAACTTGAAGAACAGAGTTGGCGCCTCTTTCCATGACTTTGACGTCGTACCAGCGGCATTGATGCATTTCATCTGCTCATCGTCGAGGATCTCGACAGCAGCCACAGGCACACCCTGTCCAACAACTTGGGCTACACAATCCGCGGCTTGTCGGATGGAATCAAAGGCACAAACCGCAACGCTGGTGCTTTGGGGCTTGACAGTAACCTTGAGTGTGGCTTCAGTGACAAGGCCCAGCGTACCTTCGCTACCAATGAAAAGCTTGGTGAGATCGTAACCTGCGGACGACTTGCGCGGCCTTTGTCTTGTCTTGATGACGGTGCCATCTGCGAGGACCACGGTCAGCGAGAGCACCCACTCTCGCATGGTGCCGTAACGATAGGCATTCGTGCCGCTGCACCCTGTACCAATCATGCCGCCAATCATGGCACCGGGGCCAGGGTCCGGAGGGAAAAAGAGGTTGTCCTTGGACAGCTGCTCATTAAGTAGCTCCCACCCTACAGCGGGCTGCACCACGACATCGAGGTCGTCCTTGTGGAGTTTCAGAACCTTGTTCATGCGGCCGAAGTCAATGCTGATGCCGCCTGCCGTCGGGGTGAAGTGCCCTTCCAAACTTGTGCCGCCACTATAGCCGACCACCGGGATCTTTCGGGAGTGGCAGATCTTCATGACTTCAGAAACCTCCTCAGTCGTGGCTGGGAAGACTACACAGAAGGGGCGCTCATGATCGCGGGCGCTGTATGATGACCAGTGCGAGGTCGAGTGTGTGCTCAGGTCGGATTCGACAGTGCTCACGTTCTCCTTGCCGACGATGGCTGCGAAGTCTGCCCAAGCGGCCTCGAGGTTGGCCTTGCCGAGGTTGTGTTTCCAGGGCCGGACTTGCGACAACGGGACGGTCGAGCCCGAATCGGGATCTCGCGGGCTCAGCGTGCCTAGGTAGTATGAACCAAGGGCGCCGGCAACGAACACTAGAGAGGGTGATAAAGACGTTAATTACAACGTGCTGGACAGGGGTAATGCGGCGTAAGGGGCCATCCGGTCGGATATGGGAAGCACTGCGTACTGAAAGTGATGGCCCAGTGTCTTGAGCCGGCCGTGTTCTGTCTCTGCTCAGCGAACTTGGCGCGTTCCTGCTTTTCGCGCGCAATACGAGACGAGATGCTCTCCAGCATCTGGCCCTTGAAACTAGGGCCGCCAGACTCAGGCTTCTCGTTCGCATAGCAGCGTACGCTCTGCCATGTGCCCACGAGGGTGTTTCGCGGCACTGTCGCGCGAGCAGCCGAGCTCGAGGGAGCTCCCAGGCTCCGGAGGGTGGCTTGCCCCTGCCGGGAAAGGAGGCGTGACATGGCGGCGGCCGAGGGTGTTCTTCGAGTTCAGGGTCGGTCAGAGAGGCCAGGCGACCATCCTGCTCATGGGAGTCTTGGATAGGGCAGGCGAGAGTCGTGCTGCAGCTTGACCTTGGCCCGGTGGTTACGGCGCGGCGTGGGATGGAAAAGCTGGCGGACGAGCTTCGGAGCTCACGGTGCCCACTTTTCACCGACCCGTTAGCGGGGACCACCGCCAGTCGCCATAGTGGAGCGACATTGCACCTTCGGTCATCATGTACAGCTTATCATGTCGGATGTCCTCATTCGTGGGATTCGCAAAGATTAGTAGTACGCATGATGATTGCTACCGATTGATGCAGATGCAGCTGCAGATGCCGCCGACAGCCACCCAGCCCCTGCCATGGTGTGTCTGGCGCTGGTGGGATATAGCTACGTAGTGGTTATACTCAAATGGAACACGACAACTTCACTATAGGCACCTAGGTAGACGACCATCAACCTAAATTGATAGAGTGGCCTAGGCACATGTACGGGATTCCTAATGAACCAAAAAGAAAAGGAAAGAAAGAAAAAAAAAGAAAAACGGCATTCATTTCTTGATTCATGTGCTTCGGCAAATTGCGCCACGCTTGACATTACTATGTCTTCCACTGGGCTGCCAGAATCTGCACATAGAAACACGGCGCCCCCTGGGTGCCAGTCGTGCTCCGCCCTTCAATGACAGCCAAGAATGCCGTCAGTTCGTCGTCGCGGCTGATCTCAATCGTCATCCCCTCGCCCAAGATGCCCTCGACCCGCCCGCACACGGTGCCGGCCATGTCCTTGACCGCCACTTGCCGTAGCTCCTCGAAAGAACGTGCCGCCAACGTCGCGATCCAGATCGGAGGGGCCATGGTGATTGGTGACGATGGATGCAGTCGCAGGTAGACAGCCACCGGCGGCCTAGGCGCTGGTGCGGCGCCGAAATGCCCCTGTACGTAGCTGTGAGTCTGCGCCTGCGTCATGCCCGGCGATAGGTCCTGTGCCAGGAACGACGTATGTGCGTGTTGGGAGTTCACCCCCGGACTATGACTGGCCATCATCACGGGTAGGCCGCTATTGATTTGGGGGTCTATTGGAAGCCCACTGTTCAGAACGCTGCTCGGGATTAGTGCTGTCTGATCATGGGATGGGCTGTGCGACAGCACTTGGCTGCTTGATAGACCGTGGTGGATGGCCTCGGGTGACCGCAAGCGCTCCTGTCGCTGCAGTTGTGATGCATCATGACTGACGTGCCTCGACGGCCCGTTAGGCGTACCGGTGATCATCGGCGTAGCCATATGATGATACTGGGACAGCGACTGCGATGGAGCGTAGTCATCACCGATAGCCAGCTGCTGGTTGTCATCATGGTCAGGGCTATTCATGACGACAGTACTGATTTCGACATGTTGGGGTGGCTCATCCACACCCATCGGCAGTGGCGTGTTTCCGCGCTGAACTTGTTTCTTTCGGCTGGGATCTCGCTTCGTCTGATCATCCCTCAGCCGCTTCATCACATCGGTTGCCAGGATCTCCACTGCTCTCAGTTTCTCTCCATGCATGGGATCTAGTGTGCCTTCGGCGAGTAGTCTCTGCAGGATGTTAGAATCTCCAGTCCATTTCTTCTTCAGCCCATCCCAGTGTTCCTGTCCAGCTTCAGTCTTACTCGTGAAACGGTCCTCTTTCAGTAGTTTCAGGAACTCTTGCCGTATGGTCCTGGTTTCCTCCGGGTTGCTTCCTAGAACTTTCTTCGCATCCGCAATCGTCATCTTCGTTTCCATGGTCCGCATACGCTTCGTAACATCCGTGCAGATGACATCCAGGGCCAGCTTCTTGCTGCTTGCATCCTCTTTATCCATCCACATGACCGATTGCAAATGAGGCACCTCCTGGATCAGGCGGTCTTTCACACCTTCCCATCTTTCAGGCCCCGCAATCGTCTTTTTGCTGACATCCTGGTCTTCGCATATCCGTGCAAAGTGGCTCCGTATCTCTCGATAAAGCCCCAGGTCGAGACCAAGAATTGCCCTACCTTCGTCGATTGTCGTCTCGGAGGGGAACCGTGGTGGTCCTGGTGGGTCTGCAGGGAGTCCAGCCCAGCCGCGTGTTCTCCGTCGACGCTTCCGAGTCTCCCATCGCAACGCCGACTGGGCCTCCAATTGCTGGAGACGTTCCCTCTGCTTCGCGGCAAGCTCGGGACTCTGGCCATTTCCAGGTACTTCCGCCCTCTGCTGCTCGTCTGTAAGACCACTAGAGGTGCCACCAAGCGGTAAGTCGAGCTCCATATGAGGGTCATGACTGTCACCTATAACGTCTGCTATCGTGTCCAGGTCCCCGGCTGTTTTCGGTGCTGAGTTCGGGGTGCGAAGCAGCCAGCGGTGGCGGGAGCGTACTCGCACCAGCTCTCTCGGTTTAATGTCAAAGCCGTCCTCATCATTGAGGATGCGCAGCATCTCTGCCTGAGATAGATTTTTCTCCCATAGTTCCTTCACGCGCGCAACTAGGCGATCATTCCTGTGGGCAGGATTTTGCTTTGATGGGAAGTTCCATCTGCGAAACTGGACTTGGATCGCTCGCTTACTGCCATGGCGGTGTACGGTCAGCACCCTGAATCAGGGACGAAAAGGAAGTACAAAACAGAGAGACTTGGAAACCCTCTGAGAGGGCCGGCGGGAAGGGCATATATGCACCTCATGTAGCGGTGAGAATAGTGTAAGTGGGTGGATTCATGTTGCTACGGCTGTCGAGAGAGCCCACTTGAGCTTTCGAGCCAAAGGGGTACGGCGAGCCTGTCATACCTTGGGGTGAACTTGTGCTCAATCCGCATAACATCCATGATTTCCTCCAAGGACTTGTTTTCCTCGATATACAGACGAAAAAAGGTCTTTTCGTGTTGATCCCAGTTATATACCATGATCGCGCCCAAGGCCTGATGGCGCTTGGCGTGCTCATATCGTCACGTTCCTTTGTCGGTTGAATGTCGCGCAGTCAAAAGTCGCAGGCCTTTTGACACGTTTTTGCGTTGGTGGTCAATCTCGATCGCCGAGTCCTAGCGCCTGTGCTTAGTAAATTGAGTTAGCTTCCTACTCCGGAAGCCCCATAACCGTCGAAATACAGTTTATATACTGTACTATGCACGATACATGTCTTGGCACGGATTGGATCCGGGCGTCAGATCGATGTCACAGTTGAAGGCGGCGAGCCTGGATTGAATCCATGGCCTAGTAGCAAGTCATATTTGCCGTTTGAGAGCATCGATATCTCTCTCCTGTCTTCTGTTGTATGTGATGGTAGGCATTCAATCTAAGACGCGATAATCGCGACACAAAAATGTCAACATGTCGAAATTCAACACTGAACAAATTTGATTCAATTTCTTGTAGGCTTTGAATTATATATCTAGGGTATATCCCGCTGTAAATATTATACGAACACCGTTCACGTCTCAGAGAGCAAGACAACTCTGGTAGTGATAATGGAGTACTGAATAGCATCGATGGTGGGCCGTAGGATGGTACAATATCTGATGGTTGTCGGTTTTCTACGCCAGATTGTTTTCCTCCACGTTTGTTTGTCTCTCTCTCGTATCTCTTTGGCCACCGCACTGGGCGGTGCCTATTAATTTTATTTTATTATGTTCCTTATGATAACATCATGACTCTTGAATTGCGACAAAAGACGAGGAGGTCGACTCGACATCATAGGGTTACAAATGGGTGTCTCCATGACAACTCGGTGGCTCTGGCTACTTGATCTCGTTGCAAACCTACATTCCAAAGCATTTGTAGACAAAGGCATACTGGGCGTCCGCAAAACCGATGATGATGCGTTACGTGAAATCTGAAATGTCGAGGGGTTCTCTTTCTAGATAAGGCCTCTGCCTTGCGACCGAATGCGACAAATCTAGATAGAGGTGATTGACCGCTGTCTCTAGACTCTGAACATATAGCCTGGTCATGCCACCTTCAACGAAGGGTCGACATCTCGCTTTCACGGTCTTATTGTGTTCCTGGAGTTTGGACGAGCTTGTCGCGTAGCGGCTTGGGTAACACTATCGAGGTTGGGTCTCGCGTATTCGGGTTCGTATGAGGTGGGAGACCTATCGAGGGTAGTCGGCCACCTGATCTCGCTTGTTTTGGAGGAATGGCGATGGGTAGCCTGAGAGGGAAGAAACTGTAGCTCGGTGGCCGGAGCCTTCACAGGCTAGAGTCGTAAACCTCAGTCGCTTCTCGTGTCGTGGCCGGCTTTGTTATCAAGTCGAAGAGATTGAGAGGCGGATCTGGTGCTATTGGGATTCATATCCTTGGTTCAAATGGGCTGAGGGTAGGTATATCCGTGAACTGATGAATGTAAGCTGTTTGTGGCCGGCCGCCTTCGTTGACGTGATCCCATGACTACTTTGTCAGTTCCATGCACAGAGGTCAAGACGTACTGCTATGTATCTCTAATGATAGCCATTACCATATAGACACTAGTAGTCAGTATTGCATCGGTAACAATGTGATCTTGGGCACGGCGGTTGTGCAGAATACTTGCGGATTGTCTCAGTGGGTGCTGACAAAAGCAGGTTCTGACCACGGTATTTCCTATATTGAGGACAGAAATAATTCTTACTAGCGCTTTGGCATGCTCTTGATGCCCTGCAAGCCCTGGCAAGGTCTGCCGAGGGCCCTCCTAGTGATAGATTGCTCCATGTAATATCGCCTGCAGCACTCCATTCGACGCGTCAATGTGGCCGCTATCCACCAACCTCTCTACGCCATCGAATTCATTCAGATTTTAGACTAGGATGCATGACTAGATGCTGTGTAGTACGTCGACAAGGTGCGGATGGCCGTGGGCGAGGGGCGATTTTGCTTCAGAGTCCGGACGAGGTCCATCTGATCTCAACCAATCAGCGTGCCTCCTTCCTAGTCGAGGCCTCGGGCAGACAATCTGCTCCACGTGGGCATTCTGCTATAATCCATCCTTTCCACAGTTCTCGACTTCTCGTTGCAAGCTGTTAGTGACCAGATGCACGTGAGTGGGAGAAAGCAAAACTGTTTTGAATCAACCGCAGGGTAACTTCAGTCACCCCAACCACAGTGTCAACAAGCGCTCTTCGTGTTCCACAAAGCAGTAGCGGTTCAAAACGTAAATAGGTGGCGATAACCTATCTCAAGCAAAACTCCTTCGTTGAAGTAGTGAGCGTTTACTTCCGGTACGCACTGACGCCTCGGGGCGGCCTTGGTTTAATAGGTCATGACTGTAACCTTCCAAGGTTGGCGCCCGAATAAACATCACCATTGACACCTGCGTCATCGCCATGTCAGATTCGGGTCTTACTCCTTCGCGCTTAGGTACTGGTTCCGCCTCAGGCCAACCTGGAAGCTTCAGCTTTACACCATTTACGTTCGATCAAGCCTCGGTTGTTGCAGACCCGATGAACAGGAAATCATTATCAACTTTCGACAGTAAAGCACCAAGTCCGGCACCTTTGATGGCTTCTGTCCCGACTGCTGCGGAACGAAGGGAGAACGCCAAGGCCAAGAGGAGAGTGCCGCCGTCGCAGAGGAAACGAACAAAGCTCAGCTGTGATGCTTGCAAAGCCCGAAGATGCAAGTGTCTCCGCATCACCACAGCCCTTGGTTCAGAGGATGGGCAGGTGGATGGTGCTTTGACTCCCTGCAAGAACTGTGTTGATACTGGCATCGAATGTGTCACGACATTACCTCGGAAGCAGAGAATCTATGGCAGCGTCGAGAATCTCGACCGCAGGTATCGCGCTCTAGATGCGCTCGTCTCAGGCATGTTCCCACAATTAGGTCCAGACGCTACTGCCGAGGATATCGCGACTTTTGGAAAGGAGAATGGCATCGTGATGCCCGTGCTCGGCGATGAACCAGACGGTGTCACGTCGCCGGCGTCGATGGCAGCCCTCGTATCTCCAGTATCTCCACCAAGTCTCGACCGGAAGATCGGGGATGAGCATTCTGATTCAGGACATAGCAGTATTGATTTCTACAAGGACACCAGCGGCCGATCTCACTATGTTGGACCATCAGGGAGCCTGGCAACTTTTGCCAGGATACGTCATTTGATCGCTCGACGGCTGCAAGCTTCACCGGACCCCGATACCCGCCGCCGGGTAGAGCATGTTTCGTCAAAAAGCGTCACTGATGCTATCGCCAGTTCATTCAACGAGAATCCCGACCATGTGGGCCTGTGGTCCGGTGATTCCATGACCTCAAACGCATCCCCAGATAAACACCTTGAAAGATCGTCGAATACGAAGTCCAATGTTCCTTCCAACAATGGGGACTCACAGTATTGGATACCGACGTCCAAGATCAAACTACCCACGAAGCATATCGCCGATGCATGCGTGGAAGCGTTTTTCGAAAATGTCCATCCAAGTTTCATGTGCATTCACCGCGCGACGTTTCAACAACACTACGAGGACCTCTGGAAGACGTCTTCAGGACATCAGAGCGTTTCCTCCGCCTCGAGGCACAGCGGCACCTACGTCTCTGTCGGATGGCTTTGTTGCTTGTACATGATCTTCATACTGGGCTCCAGGACCATGAAGAAGAACCCAACATCTCTCGAGTTTCAGCGTACATACTTTGACTGCGCGAAGCAGCTTCCTTCAAAGCTTACTGGCTCGACTCTCCCAAACATATCTGCATTAATGCTTCTCGCATTGTACTGCCTCAACATCAACGATCGTACTGGTTCATGGGCATTTCTGGGTCTGGCCTGTCGTCTTGCCGTCTCGCTAGGAATGCATAGAGAGTGTGTGGGTGACGGTATCAATACATTAACCAGGGAGATTCGAAAACGTGTGTGGTGGACTTTGTACGACTGCGAGCAACACCTGTGCTGTTCACTCGGTCGGCCCAGTGCCATTGACGATGTAGAGATTAACGTCGGCGTTGCTGACGAAGAGCTGTTACAGTGTGACATAAGCCTACCTGCTGAGTATTCGCAAAACCTTGTATATCTACTTCGATTATTAGGCACGATCCGTCGAAGTGTCCACGAACCTTCAGTATCGGTGAATACTATTTTGCCGCGAGAAGTACAGCTTCTTCGCTGTCTGGTCCTATGGAAAGCCGGTCTACCGGGGTTCTTACGGCCTACGCCCCCAAACGAGGCAAAACCAGACCCTCGGAGATGGCGAAGGATCATTATGATGAATGTTCAATATCAAAAGTCGCTCAGTCTTCTGACTAGACGCTTCCTCCTCCAGGAGGTAGAGTCCGCTGACCGTAAGGAGGATCTGGGAGTCGACGCATTCGCTATCATTAGCTTGGGCGAGATATGTGTTACCTCAGCGATGCGCATGGTCAGTCTACTGGTCGATCTGTGGAAAGCCAAGATGTTCAATGGCATCACAGCGATTGATACCTATTATGCGTATCTGGCGAGCATTCAGCTCAGCCTGAGACTTCTTGAACCTAGATATTTGGTGTCACATCAGCGTCTCAGCAAGGTGCCGAACGAAGAGAAATTCCGGCCATCCGCCACCCCAGCACTCAAGTCGAGCTTGGACTACGAGATCGAAGCTCTTATCACTCAATCGCAACTAGTCGAGACCTACAGTGTCGCCGAGCTAACAGATGCTGTACGCCAACTCAACGACGTATTCCAGACGGTAGACATGTGTGGTTTTAGCGCCAAGTGTAGCATCATATCTGCCGAATTTGGCAAGGCCGTAGGAGCCATCGATGGGGAGCCTTCATCGACGCTATTTAACGGCAAACTAGGACAGAACTTGGAAAAGGTTGAGGAAAACCGGCGTCTGGGACCAACCCAGCAGGATGGCCTGGATGCAGCAAACGACGGGAGTTTCTACACTGGAAATATACCTCCAACCCTGGACAACAGTGATGGATATCACTCACAAGACAGCAGATTTGTCCAAACTGATTTGGCTGGAGCGTATATTCAGCCACAGGCTATGGGGATGAACTACGACTATGGCGGCGTTTTCAACACCAACAGCTTGCTCAATGTATCATCCTCGCAGCCGCCGGATATTCAGTGGGATCAGGTTCTGCAAGCGGCTGATTGGCAACAACCTCACGACATGTTCAATGACATGACATCTAGTGCCTGGTCCTGGCCTCATCAAAGCAATCTCGCGTACGACCCCATGGCTCCACCTCAGTGAAGCAGAATCTTAAACCGTTTCCGGATCTAAGTACGGAGTAATCTCTTGCTAGCTTCTTTCAACTGCTTGGTATAAATTTGCATCCTGTATGTGCTTCTCTACCGGAATTAAGAGCACATATACACCATTATCATCTGCCGGTGCGTGATTCAAACCAAGAACTCTCAGCTAAGTAAATCTTGTTCTACTCGAGGCAGATGAGCCCCAGGCTATCTCTTAGACGATACCCAAGCTCTTATTGTTACATGCGTGCACAAGCATGAAGAGTCGCACCTATCATTCTACTATTCACTGTTACCGGAAATATATGAGAGCTATATGGGGCTGTACAATACCACAAGAATCTCACAAATTTCCTTGGTTCTTTCATGACTATTAGGCCATTCAGTGCTCACCTGTTAGATATTGTCAGCCTATTTGACTACTAGGCCTAGTATTAACCTAATGACGTCTTTTTGCACAACTGCAAACTCTTCTGTGGACAACTAAAAGCTCTTCTTCAAGTGTACCCCGGGCGGGTGTACTCAAATACTGCAGATGTCAACAACTAGGGCTTGTGACACCTGGAACTTGACTGCGATCCATGAAGGCTATCCCTGATCTATCTTGCTTGGTGAGTCAATATTGTAGAATATTGTAGAATGAGGCAAAACCAAGGCCATCAAATGCGCCAATTATTTCTTGAACACTTAGGAACGCTCAAAAATATAAGTTTTGTTGCCGTTCGCTTTCTATCTCAATAGGATTCGAGGAACGTTGTCGAAATCGGACGAGGTGCGACTCGGGAACCACCAGGAATCGCTCTTCACAGTCCCGATCTGATGATATCTAGAGATGTATGGGGAGTTCAGCTGACTATAGACAGGGGAGAGAATGAAAAGTCTTTGCGCAGTACGTTGGGTATGTCAAACAAAGGTGTCGACGTCGCAATCTCATTCTGCTCTCACGAGGGGGTGAGTTGTTCGGATGTCGAATCAACCCAGAAGTACATGAAGAGACTATGACAAATTTCTGCTCTGTTAAAAATACGAACTGCTGTTCGCAAGCACTTGGGTGCATCCTCGTGTGATGGTGGTGGTTCGGGGTGCATATATGTCAGCAACCAAGCAACCCAAAAACCTTCCATCCCTGAGCCAAGCCTCAATCACATGTGTGGCGCCCACACCTCGTATTCTAGAACCGATCTGTCAGTTTCCACGCATACGACTTAGGACTCTCTGAAATAGAGCGGACAAGTCTCGGCACCAGGTTACGCTTCGGGTATTTGGCCATGCTGACAGGATGGTGACACAGCATGAACCCGGACGAACCATTGAACACCCGTCAACACAACCTCGGAGTTAGGTGCCGATGCCGTCACATCACATAGTGACCATCTACAATCACACTACAGTTGGCTAAGCTTTAATCTGACAACACCTAGGTGAAGCCATGGTGTGTCGAAGAGTGACTGGCACACCGATGGTGATACGCCGCTATGATCACTAATACTGTTAACTACTATGACTGCGACTCTCCCCATGAAACCGGTCTAACCCCGGCAGTAACTGACGGCCAAACGTCTCTGGGGTCTTTCTGTGATCTTCACTCTCAGTACTATAAGCAGCGTGGCCGATTGGTCGCAGCACGAGCGCGGAACATGAGGGAGGACGAGGCATGAGTCAACTCGTGCAGAAGGATACCACATACTTCAGCAGATGTCTATGGAGTTGAAAGGTACATCGGCACCATCAACATGGGATCTCGCTCGTTGCGGGACTCAATTATGGCCTCAGTCGTCGTTATGCAAACATTACGCCATCCATGTTGCTGCAGATGGGTCTCGGGGTTTGTGTGATGGAGCCTCAATGAGGGGGTCCTATTGCTCCAGCTGCACTTACTAGCTCCCCTAGAGCCTTCGACGCTGCTTGACGACAAGCTTGCATCCCTAGTATGCTGCGTATAGATGACGGTGCCTGTTCCCTGGAGAGGGATGAACCAGACCCCTCACTGAGCAGAAAAATTTTCGGTTTTTTTTTTCCTCTCTCACGGATGCACATAAGTGGCTCTAATACCAAAGCTGTTCCACTGAGTGGCCGCCGCGCAGGGTTTCAAGCCACCCTGCACTGCAGCATGCGGGAGCGAGTCAATGGGGGACAAGCCCCCGAATCTGCAGCGCATACTACAGCGTACTTACCTACCTATATGTACCTACGTATGCTCTCACGCTTTTGCTTGCCAACTTGCCTCTCTCTAATACGTTGGCCGCCGCACCGACATCACTGGGGCTTCTGCTCTGCAACGCCATAGGGTCTAGGGCACGATTGAGGGTCCGAAAGCTGCGCATCTAAATGCTAGGCGGCATTGCGTTAGGCCGTTAGTTCCTCATTAGTGATGTTACAGGGCATTCGTTGCTATTGCGGCAGTTCAGGCTCCGCCGTGAGTGGCTCTCTTATGACGATGCGCCAGACTACAATTCGTCGCGAAATTTGCATCACATTCCTTGCATGTCGTAAAGTATGCATTTCCCGCTGCAACGTACGATTCGTTTCGTCTATGTGGACAATATACACTGGGCCAGAGCAGGGAAGCGGAGAGCTTCCTCAACGCAACGTCTACTGGACTTGTCTATCATGCGGGTCGACGGAGCCCGGGCGCCATGGCAACGTCGGCATTCTTCGGGGGGAAACGGCCACCGGTGTCGCAGGCATGCCTCGGCCTTGACGAACAAGCATTGCTGATGACGTTCATATCTGCGTGCCGCTCGAGTCGAGCTTCTTGGCAGATAGAGCTTCATTTCGTCATATACTTTAACGCTTTCACAACCCCCCTTCGGGTTGCCAAGGTTTGATGTGCGACGTACTATGGACATTCCCCCTTGAGTAAATACATCGACATTGCAAATGCAATACCTTGGAGAATCAGTTCGCAATCAACTGCCTTAACTCGAATGTCGATATAGGGGAGCAGCTTTCCGATTGCTTTTGTAGTACGAGTTACATTAGAGCTATATGCCGTCCACAACGAGATAGTGATATCCTTGTCGAGTGGTCTCTGGGCCTAAGGCCTAGATTGTCAGTTTTACATTAGGATTGACACTGCATACCTCTCCCCAGCGTTAAGCAAGCACAAGTCAGTCGCAATCCTGGACGAACTTGGACACGACTCATCGCAGCATCGAGGACTTTCCTGATTTGGTCGAGAAGTCGGAAGTTCGGTCCAGGGTTCAGCGTCCAGCCCTGTTTGCAAAAACGGTCGCGGGGGTTGGCACTCCCTTGCTATCTTAACCCTGTTGGCCTGGTTTGTCCCTCTTGTCCCTGTCTGCTGCAATGCCACCAATGCTAAGGTGCGAGGTGGGTGTCTGTATGTACTCCATGATATCGCTGAGATACGGAGTAACTTCCAGTCTTTATGTTCCCCAAGCTTCACCACTCCGACCCGGAATTAGGGTGCATGTGTTGCATTGCTTGATAGAAGCACTCTTCCACCTCGCGAGTCGTCCTTGACTGGCAGGACAACTCGATAGCCACATATCATATTGATTGTGCGTTTAATGTGATGCAATCATTTGGAAGAAAATACTGGTGCTATACTCTTCGAGTCTGTTATGAAAGGCAACCCCACTAATTCAAACTTACAGGCCGTCTAGGGTTGTGAAGTAGAGTGACGCATCTTCGGATGCATATAGTGGCCAAAATGCCGGGGCGAAGTTGAGACAGGTCATAACACGTAAGTTAGAGCCCCGCTGGTTATCGGCGCGATTCTGGCCAACTCGCCCTGGATTGAACAAGTCCTTGATTTTTTGTTTGTGAGTAGCCAACACAAAGGCGATAGTGACCTCACACATGTAATACACCGATCTTGGGATACAGAAGCGTGTCAATTACCGAAGAAGGTAGATAAGGACGTTGTACGAAGGTACTGTCTCTGTGCTGGACCTGGGTCGCATCTCCAGTCACGCTGGCGACATCAGTTTTAATAATCGACGATAGGACTATCGACCTACCAACCCGTGACAGATTCGTTTTGGCGCCTGGTCAGCGCCCGTCCGTCTGGCTAGATTGGCTGGCAGAGATGCAGGTGGGTTCGTAAAAACCATCCTCGCTAGCATCATGCATTCTAACGACGCAGGTCCGAGAAGATACGGTTAAGCGCCAACTGCGAGGCTTGGCGATGGTCGGCGCGCTTGTCCTCAAGCGTAGGATTGCGGCTCCACGCCCATAAGAGACACCACACCAGTGACCAGGTTCCCCATAAAGCGCACGTCCATGAATTTCTGGACAAGGGCCCATGTCTACAGCAATGGATGGTGCGCTAAGTTAGTTATCTCTGGCCTGGTCAAAATCAAGAACCATGCCTGCACGCAATGTACCTAACTACGTAGTGACTAGATCTCTGACCTTCCCAGCATGGTGTGGGCAGGCTTGAAGCTCATCAATGGTGTGCGCGGGTGGAGAGCGAGATCTTGATGTATCACAAACGCTCACTGCCCCGTTACACTCGGCCCTTGTCATAGTGGAATCGAGGGAGGGCGATGTTCCTCTTCTTTGACCGTTGTGCGGCCTGGGTTCTACTTCCAAGGTGTGTCGCGAGTCATCTCAGCACTGCATGCGAAAGAACCTCTCTTGGAGTGCTACGTAATCTATAGATCTGGATGGTGTCCTGCTGAGTCAGAAAGCCTGAAACACCACGCGACGCTGTAGATGGACAGACAATGTCTTGAACTTAGCAAAAAGGCATGTGATGTAAGGCCATGCCAGAAGAGGGGTCGCTTCTAGGGGTTGCCATGCAGTCGTCGATATGCGGTCATTGACTTACCTGTCCAGAAAACAAAGTGGAAACCTTTGGGATGGCGGGTGCAAATGCGAGCTGACACCAATATGCGAGTAATTATGCTTGTGCAGGATGGAATACCCCTAACCTGAGATGTAGGGAACCCACCACGATCTCTCTGCCGACCTAAAGTCGGGATATGCACGTCCATCGTAGCTGTTGGATGGGATGTAGCCGGTCTTCCAGCCAGTCCGCTTATCATTGTAGTCGCATACGACACTCCTGGCAAAGGAGGGTCTGTGAAGGATGCGAATGAGATGCAAGGCAACCCCCATTCATGAAAGCTGTAGGTATGTTATCGACAGGACGGGCGACAATACAGCACCGTCGTGTCGTGGGAGGTGACGAGTCTCTTCAATACTGGGTACAGGCTGAGTATGTAGCTTGAAGTGCAACCTTGAAATAGCCGCGAAATAGGTGTTCATCGCAGCTCCATCGCCGGCCAATCGAAAGGTAGGCCGACGCCATACTATGCAAGACATATTAGGGTAGCTCCAATGGACTATCCTAGAGCCCTTTTGTTCATTAGCTCGACATAGCAATTGCATCAACGTGATGGTGGCCTCCAAGTCAAAGAAATCGATGATTCCCTTCAAACAGCGAGATCTTGGCACGACATGGCGCCAGATCCTAGTGAGCGCGTCCTTTTCGACTACCGTCAAGTACTTCTCAGGTACCTCCTGAGTTCCCACCCGTTCTCCAATGGGGCGCAATAGCGAATAGTGGCGCATTCAAACAGTCGTTAGTGACACGGGTGATTTGCGGCCTATCATATGATACCACCCTACACTAAATACCAACAGCCCTAGGCTTCACAAAAACCTGGGCTGTCTGCTCCAATCCTTTCGTGGACTGCGGGGTGGTCCATCGGCCAGACTGGAGCTGCTGACTAGCATCATCGTTGTACTGGCTAGTTAGTCTGCCCCCAAGAGGGAACAGACTCACACAGTCATCGGCTAACCAGCAGATCACAGGGCCGCCCCCATTCGTCTCACCAAACGAGTGGGCCAACATCAAAAGTACATTCCACATGGGGAGCGTATGATCATATGGCTGGTTCTCTCGACAAACGTAGACGTCTCGAGAACATGGCAGTACAATTCTCGGACCTGTCCGGTGGTGGTTGAATCTTAGGCAAGTCTGTTGATCAAATGATGCACATTCTTCTTGATTGGGAGATCGGGGGTGAGTAGACTGCCGGATTTGTTGTCAATATGCGAGAATCCTTCAAGCAGAGCCTCGCGGTTATACCAAATACAGCAACCGACAGGGGTATTGCCTGTACGAAATCGACGAATGAGACTCGGACCGCTGCCACTCCTCTTCGGCGGGTCATCAATTGTTGTTAGAGCTTATCACAACACACTTTTGGCGCTCGGTAAAAACAGCTCATGGTTTCGTTCTGCTTTCATTATTCGTAATTCAGCCTCATCTAGCTACGGTCAATCAATAATATGAAGCAGATTAGAGCCATTGATCTATGCGCCTTCTTGATCTCCATATGCCTAAAGACTGTGCCTTTTTAAAAGCCGATGAAATGCTGCGCGCCGGGCATATCGCATGCCATGCAATAGAAACAGATTCGCGTAAAAGGATGAAACCGTCTCCATTTGTGGGATTCCACATAGCCTTGTGGGTGTCCGCTGTAACCCCTTTTCCTGTGGCCAGATGATCTACCTTTCCCAAAGCAAAACGAGAACTTTTGGCCGTAAAAACAAAGACCGCCCTTGCAGAGTAGAAACGTGGTTCTCTCTTCTCGCTGAGAAAAGAAGGGATAGCAAGTGCCGTCCGTCTTGTGTGCGTATGAGGAGAAATGAGAAACATCGGGAGAGTTCCGTTTTTCCTCGTCCCTGTCCAGTGCTGTTCGCTTCTAGAAGGGCATGAATGACAATTTCATAACTCATGGGATCTTTTTTTCATGAAGATTCCGACTCAGGTTCGTAACTGTACCCTAATTAGGGTTGAGGAATGGGGAGTTAGGCGACAATGAAGCCACCACAGCAATGGACGGGAATTCGTGACCGTACGCTGCCGCTGTCTTCTCCGGCGTTCGACTGCGCTTGATGGGTCGTTTGTAAAGATGCTCAAGGTCATCAGGGCGCGCTTTTGGTGTGATGATGCTGTCATTCGGTCCTGGACGAGGCGACATACGCAAAGAGTCATCGAGGTCACCGTCTGGTCTGCTTCCCCAAGAGGTCTGTTTGGTAATCAGTCTTGTGAACGCAGCATAGTCGTGAAAGTGGGAATTACGTACCATATTCAATGTGAAAAGTGCATATAGCTTGATGAAGCCATGGAAGTATCCGAAGATAATCGAGACTGGAAGGAACATGATGTCTTTCGGATTGCGCCTGAACAACCCCACCAGCTTGACCACCTTTGTGAATCCGAACATCCAGGTGAGTTCTGCTACAAGTAGCGTCTGGCGGGTTTTGGGATCACAGTTGGCGGTCCCCCACCACAGTGATAGGATGATGAGGGGGTCAAAGAACCAAGCCAATGAAGTGAACGTGGCTAAGTGCAGGGCATACGAACACCATGGCTGCTGTCTGTTCCATAAGAGGTATGGTCAGTCAAACGTGAACAGAATTGGGTTAAATGCAGGGAACTCACGTAATCACATAACGCTCTTTCACAAGACTTGTCCAGTTACTTCGCCAGTTGCTTCTCGCCCACCTGGAGCATTGGTAGAGGAATTTCATACCGTACTCAAGGGTAGTCTCGATTTCGCACTCAGCCTCGTACTGAATCCAAGTCTCCCACTGGTGGCTGACAAGCCATCGTGTCACAAAGTTGTCGTCGTCGGCATTCAGGGTGTAATTTTGCCATCTCTCGTTCTTGAAGCCCTCCAAGAAGTCATGGCTCTGGAGAATCTCAGATCTGTAGGCGCCAGTTCGTCCTGACATACAGGAAGTTCCCCCATCAATGTTGTGGGTGGCTGAGATCTCGAAGTTGCGTCGCTCAATATACGCAGAACCTAGCCAATTCCAGATTTGATCTGACCAAGTGCCGTCGGGATCTCTGCGCACACGTTGACAGGTTCCAACACCACCGATTCTCGGATTCTCATCAAATGGCGCCAGGATCCAAGGCATCAAAGTTGACGGCCAGGTAACATCGTCATCAGCCATGATGATGATTTCGGTGTCTACCTGTGGAAGTGCCTCACAAACTTGAAGACGCTTGTTGGCGATCGGAGTGCTTAGGACTCGGATGCTGGGAGAAGACAGGGTCTTGGCAAGCTGTTTTAGGCTTTCCACCTTGTCCACTGTTGTTACAAGGATGAGTTCGTGGGGTTGGCAAGCCAAAATACTTTCCAACGACGGACGTAGCTCCTCAAAGACATTGTGGATGGTAGGGATAACGACCGTGACATCGTCAGATGTCAGCCTTGGCTTCTCGGGGATGGGTTTCGACTTGTACATCCAATGACTAAAGCAATGGACGACGAGGCGAAGATAGCGGTGGATGCTTGTTCTCAGAGTTAGTACTCGTCTCCAGAAACACATAAGACTAGCTCAGCGAGGCGGGCAGAACTGATGGTGGTGAATGAGTGTGGGGTGATTTTCGTCTCGCCATGCTTCCTTTGTTTTCCCCCCTTGCCCCAATGCTTCAAGCGAGACGGTATTCGCAGGTGAAGGTATTCAACTTACAAGAGCACCAGGTGCGTCCAGATCCAGAAGCTCGGGGATGCTAGAAATGGGAAAAGTCCCAGGCACACTTGCCAGAGCAGGGCAAGTGCTGACGGATTAGAGGACTCCATTTTCACAGGCCACCTTGTTGATCCGAAAGTTTTCTTCTTTCTAAGCTGATCTGGCGATTGGCGTCCGCGAGGTAGACTGCGATTGGTGGTTGGTGTTGAGGTCGGTTGAGACAGAACGTTGGGAGTTGTGAGTTGTGAGAGATTGATTTGTATTATCCGTGACGTGGGATGGAGTGTGGATCCCACTATGCATTCACTTCCGAATTTGCCCACAGTTCAAGTGAATGCAGCAAACAGCACCACGTCGAAAGGACCGCATTCGGTGGTTTATTTTCCTCGTACGCCTTGTCCCAGGTGAATTTTGAGGGTGGTAACAAGTGAAAATAACAAAACAGACGCGTAACCCCGAGAACGAGAGATTCACACCCAGCTGACCCGCACACGTGCTCCCGAGAAGCTGTTGCCGAAGCCGAGACGGGATTGCCGGTAATTCCCACAAATGATACTATACAGGGTTGGGAAGAAACGCCTTAAAGAAAGGAAGCCATCCGAGGGGGGAGACAGTGGACTTCGGACGACGCAAGGCGACAGGAGGAAGAAGGGAGACTTGGGGATAGGCACGAGAGAGAGAGGTGGGCTAGATCCGGGAGGAGAGAACAGGATATATAGGCCAATGCAGTCGACATGGAACCACTCCAGCAACGGTCAAATAACGTAAACGATGGGACAGCGCATTGGAACGGATGGGGCCTAGCATCTCAATCGCTAGGTAAGGTAGGTACAGTAGGCAAAACAGAGCTGGTCGGTTCTCGACTGTACTTGCAAAGTAGGTATGTATGTAGGGCAGGTACTTGGTGGATATCGGCCCACGGTCGACTAGCATCAGGCCGACTGAAGCAGCAAGAGGTACGGGCGGATACATCCCAGGCGGTTACAACGGTCGAGCTATACCCCATGGCCAAGGTAACGCGGCGGGAATGAGGCGTTTTGAAGGGCCAAGTTCCCACCCGGGTACTTCTGCTGGCAATGCTGCGTGCGTGCGTGCTCGTCAATCGTCCGCCAAAACCTCGTTCGAGATTCAATGAACAAATTTGGATGGGTGGTAGTTGAATCGGTGGCCACCCACCCCGGCCGCTCCCCTCTGCGCGCGCTGCAGACCCTGGCCGGGAGGGGTGTGGTGGGGTACTCTGCACCTACAGGGGCCCCCTCCAAATGAAGCGGCGTAAAGTGGACAGGCAGGAGGAGAGGAGCAACGAGGACGAGGGACGGGGGGGCAAGGGACGAAAAAAAGACGCTCGTCTTCGCTGTTGCCGCTTGTGTCCGCGCCCCGGCACACAGGCGAGAAGCTACCTAAAGTAGCTTCAGCGACGATGCTGTACCTCTGCGGTACATTGGACCTCCTGGCCAATTGCCCCGCGGCAGCGCGCGAGTGGCCCCATGGGCTAAGCTCCTAGTGATTATGTTGCCAGGGCATAGCATAGCTGTGGTCGTCGACCCGGCCTCGAGTTCTTGATGGCTGGGCTTTACGGGCGGCTGGACTTGCTATGCCACATGTACGTACGTATTGTATTGTTCGAGCAGGATTTCCAGCGACGAAGAATCGTTGACGGACGGGGTGGAAGGAGTCTCCACCGTCGCGCTGGCCGAGGACCAGACAGGATCATCATGTGCTGTTGACTTGCCCCAGCGCTCTTGTGTCTGTCTCTCTCCCTCCCTCTCTCTTCCCAGTGCGGTACACAACCACTGGCAGAAAGACGGCGTCACGCAATTTAGCCAGTGCAGGGTATGAGATATCGAGATCCATGGCGGCTGTACACTAGATTCGGTCGAGATGTCGCTTGGGGACCATCGACCCGTCCATCTTCGCGCATTAGCGAGGCAAACATGGGCCACCACGGTACGTGACGACGAGACGCTTCTCATGTCGTCTGGATGTCTGGATGTTCGAATTCGCCGATCCCACAACCCCATCCCAAGATGTGGCGCGCTTGTGCTTCCCGGGCGGGCAATAACGGGCCATCGTGACTCGAGTCACCAGGTGGTCATTGCCATCACCTAGGTCTGTTAGCGCCGATGCTAGCAAGTCGAGCCCTGGAGATCACCCAGCGCCAGTTGCCAGCCCTGGAGGCTGCCCAGGTAGCCTATTCGGCCAGGCTGGCGCCCTACCCCAGTTACGGAGTAACTCATCACGCTTGGCCACCAATCTAAATGGTGTCGTCAATTAAGTTAGTTAGAGCCCACCAGTTGTCGTCGTCTTAGGCGAGTTTGTAGACATGTGTATCGATCTAGCGAAACGCCTATAGTACAGTCGTGTTGTCGTTGCAATCGGCACGTTGCAGCTCTCGTTACCAAACGGGGGGAAATAGAACCAAGCCGATAAGACTGCACTGCACATTCACGACGCAGCATCTACTTCCATGCTAACCCATTGCGGGCAATTATCGATACCTTCTTAACCTTGACCTTGAGCACACCGAGCGACGGCTTCCCTTCTGCTTCAAGGGTCTTCGACTGAGGACGTGCACGCAGCAGCTTGTGGTAAGGACTTGTCCATGGAGGTTACGCGCTTGGAGGCTGCCACGGATGGATCAGTGAGGAGAGCAGGAGAATCACAGCCAAGTGTGGTAGGTGAGCATGCATTCACTCGACCGGCGGACCGGGAATCTCACCGATCCCAATCTCCTTCAAGTTTGGAATCGATGAAGATTATCTAATTCACAGGACAAGCAAGGCAAGGCCCGCAATGTGACGTACAAGCTCGGTTCCTTTACTGTCACCTCGTTGCAGTGGTTGATGCCGGTTACCGACTGACATCGGGGTGCCCGTCCAATACATGCAGCAGGACTGTTCTCCTCTGCCCCTGCAACGCCCACGGCTGGATTGCCACATGTCTCGAGATCGCTTGAAACATCTGGAGCAGAGTCTGTGCATGGTCGTGGCTCGGAGGACGTAGCTGGCTCGGACTTCTGCGGATCGTTCCGGTGCATTGAGTTGTATCACCACCAGTGCTAGAGCAAGAGCCTCATCATTGACATCTATACCGGTTTCGCTGTTCCATATCGGATGCGAGCGAGATCCGCGCTTGCTTACGTTTGAACCAAATAAGCTGACACAAAGCTTCTGACCTACCTACAGCTTGAAGAAAAGTCTCTAATCTCCGCGCGATTGACTATTTGTCTGTTGATGGTGCCCTCGTGTGCAGAACAGCATCCGCGTCAATGTCCTTCGCTTCGTGAGATCACTGGGGATGCAACCAGAGGCGCCTGTTGCACAGGAGCATGTGCTCCAAATTGGAATGGAAGCCAAGGTTCACCGGGAACACAGGTTTGCAGATGCACCTGCGGCGTGCATGCAAACCGAAATGACCTGCCGATTCAGAGTATTATTCCGACGGGGCATCGCTCCGTGCGCTTCCACAGCCTTTCCAATCCTAGCTTGGCGTCAAGTCTTTGGCTGGGGAATGCGTTCAACCCCCCCCGACGCGACATGTTGCCCCCCATCCTGCCACCACCTTTGCAGATACTACAGCTCCAACCTTGGACAGAGATCTTCTGAACAGCAGCATAGTTGATCCGCCGTGGTATCACAGGCAAGCCGCTCGACAGGGCAAGGGATGATGGTGACGTGCCTTGTCCAGACGTTGCATTCTTCGAAACAGGCTTTTCTGCAGGCTGGGTACTAGAAATTGCCAACGACTTTACTTATGGGGACAGAACACCCCTCTCCCGCTGTAAGACAACCCTGAGAGAAAATTACATTAAGAGCTTGGGGTTTGGAGTTGATCTGTAGGCTTGACGAGTGCCATTGGCCAATGACATGATTTGCCGCGTCCGGGAGTCAAGTCCCCCAAAAAGCCTGCCGCACCCAGTTGGAGAACACCACCAAACTGGCGCCGGCGCGCAATGCAAGTTCACCGTGCCCCAAGGTGCCATTGCTGTAGAATGGCAACTTGTAGAGCACCGACTGCTCATGCTGCACTCAATGCGTACAGTTTTCGTGCTCGCTGACAGCCAGGCGGCTCGACGCCTTGCCATCACGTGGGTGTGGCTGGCATAGGTACTCGTCGATCATTGTGCGCATATGGAGTTACTTGGCATCAACTACGCGCACCTCGGCCCAACCCATTGCCCGGCATACGATGCATGGGGATGGGGAAATGTCCGGCCAGCTCAGAAGACGAGGAATGTACACACATGTGCTCGCACACGATGCCATTCGATAGTGGTCTTGGTCGGCTCGATCTCGGTTCTGCGAATACTTCTTGCCAGCCAGGGTCGTCAGCGTTGTGGGCTTCATTTCAGTGACTGCTCGTGAAAGATGCAGGTCGCCCATTTAGGACCCTTCCTGAGCACATTGAAGGCATGCTCATTGGTCCGAATGCCGGTATAGATACATTTCTGCCGCCGGGAACTCTTACATAATGCACGTTGACAATTGTTCCAGCACTCGCCAAATTTATATCGAGTCTTCTGCATCATGCATGGTGCGTCCTGGTCCAGCGCCATGAAGGCTAGGAATCCCGTTCTTGCCAATCGCCTGCCAGCACGCTAGCTGCAAGCTCCATCATTATGTGGTTCACAAAGCACGCTGGCCCACTACAACAGGTTTACTCATGGATACGGTTGACCTCTCATTGTGGCCAGACCAACTGGAACATGTGGATCGCAGCACAGTGCTGGGGGAAATCCGCAGATGGGCGCCAGAGCCAAAGAATGAAGCAGCAGGAATTGAAATGTGCCGGATAAGGAGACAGCGAAAAGTATGGCTCGCAAGGCAGGTCTGCATGTGTGCCGTTCATGGCCTGTTGATATATTCGATTCTGGCTGAATGTAGACCACTGTCTCTGAGACGACGTGTGAAGACCACATGGTTGCGGACCGCACAGCAACTGTCTACGATTCGCATAGCTCTGCCCTAGCTTGCACGGGCTATCCCCGAGTCTGCTCCGATGATCCATAATTTATCCTTTCGCCAAACCCCAACCCGCATATCAGAAAGGTAGAGCTCACGGCACGACGTTTGCGGAAGTCAGACGTTGAGGAAATATCACCGATGTATCC